GACGACAGGGGTCAATCATGCTGGGTTACCGGAGGCATCTCTTTGCCCTTTCCATGTCTAACTCCCCTTATTACTTTGGTTTTCATGCAGGACGTCACATACGCGAACCATGCCAGGCATTGCTTATCCCTGCGCCGGCGAGGACGTCCTTGACCCTGTTCAAGGACTACAGGCCCTTCGGTGATCGGCCTTCAATAGCAACTACTTGTGACGAAATCGTCTAACTGGATAGGTACTTCAAGTGATCTTGGTCGCTTTCACATCGCCAAGCAGCTAACACTATGATTCATTGACACATTGCTGCAGATCTATGAGCTATGTTTCCGTTTGCCGACCACAACAGCGCGGCCAGAACACCTGGTTCCACGATGCTAGTTTGTATTCTGACCATGGAGGGTCGAGGGTCCGAACGGCCCGGATATACTATGTGAGCCTACGGCCCGTAGAGAGCTAAATATTGGAACACTAGTGGTGTCATGACGCCGCAAGCGATTGCTACCGCTCAACGCCTTAATAGGTCACGTTACTTCTCCGCCTCATCATCTAGTCAGACACCTATAAAGCCCTTGTAAGCCCACCACCGTGAACATCATTCTTCCTTGATAAGCCTTCCTGGTCATCTTCAATCACGTCGGTCATCCTGTACCCCATTACCACTCAAACGTTTCCTCCCATCCCCAAAGTTTTTTTTTCTCTCCTCATACCTTCGTGTGTCTCAACTGCTGTCAAACATGGCGCCTGGTGCATTGTTTGACGAAATTTCGCAAAATGCATTAGCTGGAGTATACAGCGATACCACTGTCCCGGCAATCAATATCACCAAGCAAGGTTCATGGGATGCAATTCTGCATCGAAATGCTAGGACCACGCCGCTTACCTTGAGAAGCGCTTCTGGCAATTGGCTGGAGGTCTCTGACGGCAACAAGTCTTGGGCCGTCTTCGATGGTTCTGGTGGAGCCTCTGTGACTTGCATTGGCCACAAGGACTACAGAGTAATGAAGGCAGAGTGGGACCATTTTGACAGCACAGGGCTCACATACGCTCCATCTGGGTCTTTTCGAACGGAAATCTCAGAAGAATTTGCAGCCCTTCTTATTCGAACCACCAACAATATGATGGCGAAGGTCGTCTTTTATGGCTCTGGTATTCGCTCCGATCAACCTCATCCATAAAAATACTGACTTGGAAAGGTTCTGAAGCCAACGAGGCTGCAAAGAAAGCCGCCATTCAGTATCATACCCGGGAGAAATTGAAACCAGAACTGGGAAGGACCATGTTTATTGCTCGCGAGCGTTCTTATCATGGCGCAACCCTAGGTGCTCTAGGCTCAAGTGGCCATAAGTCCCGGCGAGAGATATTTGAACCGAATCTACCGAAGGACACCACATTCATATCGGCTTGCAACCCATACCGCGATATGAGACAGGGCATGACGAACGAAGAGTATGTTCAGGAACTCGCTCAAGAGCTTGAGGACCGAATCTTAGAAATCGGTGCCGACAAGGTTGCCGGCTTTATTGCTGAGCCAGTAGTTGGTGCAGTAAGTAGCCCCAGGTGCTGAGTTACCAAGCTACAGCTTCCAAAACTTCTGTAATCACTGACGTCGATAGGCACTCGGATGCGCCCCTGCCGTACCAGGTTACTTGATAGCCATGAAGAGCGTATGTGTCAAATATGGCGTGCTTCTTATCCTCGACGAAGTCATGTGCGGGTTGGGTCGTACAGGTTACCACCACGCCTGGCAAGAAGAAAACGTGGTTCCTGACATTCAAATGGTGGGCAAAGGTCTCGCAGGTGGTTATGCAATGATCTCTGCTGTTCTCTTCGGCCACGATATTGTCAATGCCTTCCGCTACGGGCCAGGGAACGGTGCGTTCGCTCATGGTCATACATTTCAAAACTTTCCGAGAGCATGTGCCGCTGGACTCAAGGTTCAACAAATCATCGAGGATGGTAATCTTATCGGGAATGTCCGAAAAATGGGTGCGCTCTTGCGCAATAAGCTGGAGCAAGGACTGAAGTATCATCCTTTCGTGGGCGATATTCGAGGCCAAGGTCTCTTTCTGGGGGTGAGAAACCCGGTGCAATTATTGCTAGCTACAGCTGATGGTCTTCAGATCGAATTTGTGATGGACAAGGAAACCAAGGAGCCATTCAATTCCTTGCTCAACATTGCCTGGAGACTGCATGAGACTGGTAAGTGACAGGCCATTCTCACATATGCACCTAGCTAAAAACGAAATCGTGCAGGTTTGACCGAAGACTATGGTATATATGTCTATCCTGGCTCTGGTACCGTTGATGGTGTGAAAGGTGATCACATCATTATATCGCCTGCTTACCATGTCACAAGTAAGGAAGTTGACACCATTGCAACCCGTGTGGTCAAACTGATCGAAGGTTTCTTCGACAAATACGACCAGCCATCACCACGATTATAGGCAAGACTCTCGACCACCGCGCCCAACGATAAAGCCGGCATCCACTGCATGAACTGGAATGAGCGAAAACACCTGTCCATCCACAAAATTGCCCAACAGACTGTATTTCCTTCCCTCATCGATTTGCTCAGAGGCTCTTCGTGGACAGCATTTGCGTCGGCAGCTTGATTTCACAAAAGCTTTATACCCCGGAAGGCTATCTGTGCTCTTTTTGCAAAACTGTTTGCATTGGGAAGGCTGTTTGCAAAATCTTCATGCGCAAAGGCGAGATACTATCCATCTACGCCTACATAGAAAGAGGGGAAAAAATGAGTTAACGACTTTCCTACTGTTGGTGCTTTGGGGTCAGGCGTAGTAGGCTCAGTCAGTCACTCTTATCATGTACATTTTCTTTTCAGAGTTCAGCATCCGGCGTAGTAGACTTAGTCACACCGCACTCACATAAACGATAAACAGTAAAAAAATAAGGTCTTTCCTGAACTCTCGATCACACCTCTCAGTGCTGACTTACAGCACGGTGAAGACGGCTTGCACCGAATCTGATCCGCTCTGGTGCATGGAGAACGACGCAGTATCAGACGGAGTTCAGACTGATGTCCAATTTCGAGCCTACAAGAACCCCTGGCCCATTGAGACATGCAGTCATCACGTCCATGTGGCGCAGCGGCAGAGAAACGGTTCACCTGCGTACCGATCAGAAGTCGCTAATGCGGGGTGACCTACATCAACAATAACACATGTGGAGGGGCTGCAGGCTCACATGTTCTGATGTGATATTGGCGCCGAGCATGTGGTGTAGAGTGAGGCAATGACGTTGGCGGGGCGAGACGACATTTGGTGGGCTTTGAGGGAAGCATGCCCGCAACTAGGCTGTCTGAGCCGCGTGGTGATGCCGACGTGCTCCCCACTTCAGAACTCTCGTAGCGCCTGCGTAGGCCACCGCACAGCACTTTGAGCATGGAATTGAGAATTTTGCGGGCGGGGAAAGATGCGAGAGCATTTCATATGCACCGTGCCTTAGGTCGGAGGACTTCGCTGCTAACATAACCGGGTGAGATGAGAAAACCTTACGCCCCAACGCACCGTCTCCTGCGGCAAGCCGGGTCTCACCTCAGCATGTGCCTGTGCCGAGTCGGACACACAGGCTGATTAATAGTGGATGTCGCGATTATGGCCGGCGAGTCCGTTATCACGTAGGAAGTCATTTTCCAAGGTTCCAGTGCTTCAACGTCACGCCGCGCACGTGACCTTCCAGATAAGGAAAGTGCTTTGCGCGGACAGTACCACGGGCGCAATTCAAAGGGTCTATAAGGACACGAGGCGACTACGATAAATGGCAGTGCTGCTTGCTGCGCAAAATGGCCTGAAGGCGCCTGGCTGCGCTGTGTCGACGTAACGAGGCCTGAGCACGCGTCCTCCAGACAACCACGAACTGTGGTGGATGGATGGCATGTCCGCCGGGTCCTTGCACGTTCTAGGTAGCTCAGCACCACGGACCCCTGTATTCGTGCTAGACTTCGGAAAAGTTCAAGTTGCACTCGATGTTCAGTCTGCGACATGCTGGTGGTCATGGCTCGGTTTAAGAGCAGCGGACGCGCTGATTCAGGCGGGAGTCTCTCGAGGCCCGAATCGAGCGATGAGGCTGACTCTAGGCACGTTCGGCGCAGACACGCACACGGGCACAGTAATAATTACAGTTTCGGGCAGTCGAATGCGAATTAGAGTGGAATTTGGGTGCGTTAGAGCCGGTGGCAGCGGCCGCAGAGAGTGCGCAGTGGCCAGACAGCAGTTTTGGGGTGGTGCCTCTTGCAAGCGACCGGATATGATATTAATGGGGTTCGGGTGCCTCGAGCGAGCGGGTTAGTTACATGAGCTGCGCACCCCCCATTGAGCAGGTGCTTTTGTGCGTTGCCGTTGCACAATAAAGCGCTTTGCCAGCAACGTGCTATTCACGCAGCAGACGGCAGATTCACCTGTGTAGAGGGCAGCGGCAGCAAAAAGGCGGTTCCCCGGGCTCAAACTGTTCCCGGCGCGTTAACGCGAATGACGGTAGGTCATTGGCGTTGCGTGACGAGGCACGGACCTTCTTTCTCTCTGGCTGCGGAGTGCACGTTGATCTCAACCTTCGCCTGCGTCCAACACAACGGCAGCAGCACCCTTCTGGCATGTTTGAACACTGTCATTCTTCCGCCATCCGACCACAGTCGCTCTCCGCAAATTCACGCCGCCCTCTGATGCCCGTGAGCCCGCGGCCAGCGGCCTGAAGACGCTCTCCACAGTGCCCTCGAACGACCGACGAGGCTTGCGATAGCGGCTCTCTGCGCCGCCGCAGCGTGTCAACAGCCCCCAGGAGCGCAGTATTGTGCATCTCACACGAGCACACTCACCCAATCCCCCGTCTGCAAGACCCGTTGGCCTGCCTCACCGTCGCGCTGCAGCCGCTCATAGCGCGGAAGACGCAGCGTTTCAACGTCAGTCCTCGTCCGCCGAGAGACCACAGCCATGTCGACACCCTCCACGGCCACGGCTACCCTCCCGCCCCATCATCAATTCTATCCTCACCACCAGTCCTACCAGCCAAACCTGCCGAGTGCGCAGCTCCAGAACGGCGCCGCGAGGATAGGCAATTCCATGTACAACGGCTACGCTAGCGGCACCTCGACAACAGACCACCGCAGGACCGCGACCGCCCACGCCCGCCAGTCCCAGCAGCTGCCACCCATATCCACAGGCCCCGCGCCCGACAACTCCATGAGCGCGCCTGGCTCGGCTGGTCGGCGGCGGAACCCCGACTGGGCTGACTTCTACAAAAACGGCCTCCCCAAAGAGGTCATCGTGATTGATGACGACGACGAAGACCCGGCTCCTCCCCCGCCGCGCCAGCCAGGCCTCACCAGGACCGCGACAAATGGCTCGGCACGGCACACGGACAAGAAGCGAAAGACGACGGCGTCCACGGCATACGACCCTGTCTACAATCAGCAGACATCCTACTCGACTACCCAAACGCCGTACTACGACTCGCCCAACCACTCCCTCTCCACCGACAGGACCACTTCTGCGCTCAACACGACAGCTGCGACGTCATTAGGTTCGCAGGTCAGCAATGGACACCACATCTCGCCGCTCGACAACAGCGCCGTTGGCCAGAAGCGAAAGCGCACGCGTGCAGTAGCCCAGGACGAGGCCAAGCAGACCAAGAGACGAGAGCTCGACCACGACGACAACCCCTTCAGCCTGTACCAGCCTCCGCCTAACCCAGTAATCAAGGCGAAGGATGTTTATGTGCAGGTTGTTCCGGATGTAAGGCCCTCAGAACTATCCTGTGCGCGATCAGACGCTGACTCATTGCAGAAGTCCTACACCAAGGACCAGAAGGTCGATGATGAGGATGGCCACTATATTGTGGTTCCAGAGGCCGAACTCACCGAGCGATGTACGTGATCGCAGCATCCTTGCCAGTCCCATACTAATTCCTGTGTAGACCAGATCGAGAAACTCCTAGGCCAAGGCACATTTGGTAAGGTCGTTCAAGCCTATGATCGAAAGAAGGGCACCAAATGCGCCATCAAGGTCATCAGATCCGTGCCCAAGTACCGAGACGCCAGTCGCATCGAGTTGAGAGTCCTCTCAACACTGGCATCCAACGACAAGCACAACATCAACAGGTGCATCCATCTGAGGGATTGCTTCGACTTTCGGAACCACATTTGCATCGTCACCGACCTCTACGGACAGAGTGTGTTCGACTTCCTCAAGTCGAATGGCTTCGTGCCGTTCCCCAGCTCGCACATTCAAAAGTTTGCGAAGCAGCTGTTCACGAGCGTTGCCTTTCTGCACGATCTGAATCTCATCCACACCGATCTGAAGCCGGAGAACATCCTCCTCGTAAACAACAACTACCAGACCTTCACATACAACCGGACAGTCCCTTCCTCATCAACCACTGTCAACCGCAGCGCGAGACACCGCAAGGTGCTTCTCGACCCAGAGATCCGGTTGATTGACTTTGGATCAGCCACCTTCAATGACGAGTACCACTCCTCCGTCGTGTCGACACGTCACTACCGTGCACCAGAGATCATCCTCAACCTGGGCTGGAGCTTCCCGTGCGACATTTGGAGTATTGGTTGTATTCTAGTCGAATTCTTCACCGGTGACGCCCTGTTCCAGACGCACGATAACCTCGAACATCTGGCTATGATGGAGGCCGTGTGCGGAGGCAAGATCGACCGAGACATTGTGCGCGCAGTCTACAAGCAAGACCGAGGGTCATCACGGAACTCTGCCAATTCGTAAGTCATCCGAAGCTTCGACACGATGCACCACTAACAATGCCCAGTGCTGCAAGATATTTCAAAAACTACAAGCTTGACTATCCAAATACCGAGACCAACAAGGCGTCGAAGAAATACGTCAAGGCGATGAAGAAGCTTCCTGTATGTTCGCCTGCCCATGTTACTGAACAGCCCTAACAGCCACAGGAAACCATCCCCAGTCATACCGACTTTAACCGCCAATTCCTCGATCTTCTCAGGCAGATCTTCGTTTACGATCCCAAGAAGCGTATAACTGCCAAGCAAGCCTTGCAACATCCGTGGTTCAAGGAGTCTCTCATGGACGATGGTACCGAGGCTCACAAGATCCGGATAGAGCGAGAGAAGAAGGCACGGCGATTAGAACAAGATCGCCGGTATCGAGACGAAAGGGCCTACTAGGACGCTCATACCCACATGCCTTAAAAAGGCGTCCTGGCAGACTTCTCAGAGCCGCCGCGCAGGTTGAGGTTGTACGACCTGGAATTAGCGGTTCTTTTGCTTCACATCTATTGCATTTACGACAGCGACATGACGCATGGAGGGCTTAGGTATTTCACTGGCTTTGGCGGCGTTGAGAGTCAGTGTTATCTTTGGTTACAGCAATTTCTTCTTCTGCCACGAAGGTTCCCCACACAATGGACAGAGCTGTGTGATCCCGCGTCAGTCAGCGCCGCACCGCTTGCGAGCAGGACACAAAACTATATACCAACACGGACGTATGGTTATCGAAGAGAGGGTACAATTGGGGGCGAGCTATCTTCAGGTGTTCTCATGCTTGGTCTATGCTGCAGGAGAATGGCCACTGGTAGCGTTGTATAATTTAGTTTCTAAGCGGAAAAGTGCTTGAGACTGTATTGAATATCGTGAGTGCTGAATAGCTTCATGCAATGGATGGAGGATCTCCATGTTTTCACACCACTGCTTTCCTGATTAAGTGACTTGTCTGTCTATGCTTCTGCATTTTCTTTTACGAACGTTTGCTTATGCAACAAAGTGACAGCCTTCTCCGCACTTCAGTCGATATCATCCGCGCTGTACGAAGGAGCTGGTTTTTTCTGAGTTTTACCCTGTAACTAAGCCTCAACTCTGCGCAACACTATAACCTAACAACGCAAGATCTAACTCTAACATCAATAACGTAGTAACTTAAGTATAAGCACACTTACATGCGAAATCTATACAGAATCATCTTAAAGCGTTGTTGTGTTGCAAGCCTGCGCGTACAGATAGTGCCTAGGCCCCAAAATTCAGAAAAAACGAGCTCCTTCGTAGCAGGCATAGCGTGAGATCGCTGTTAGCGTTTGCGCTACTAGCTGTCCAGTAACATCCCGGTCGCAAGTAAACACGACCGAGGCGCGTCGCAACAGCACAAGTTGAACTTCGCAAGTACTCCACGCAGCGATACGAAAAGACAGTACAAAATGGCGAGCGCAAAGCAACAGGAGAACATGCTTCTCACAGAGCACTTTTCATGGCCACCAATTGTACGCACAACCACCTCCAAACTCTCTTCCCCTCCATCTTCCTAGACCCCACCAGACGTAGACATGTGTGTCGCGAAGCACTCTGAACGATACTAACAAGGCCGTGCCAGTCACTCATCGACGACATAATCAACGCCATAAACGAAGTCCTCTACCGCTGCACCGACTCCTTCGAAACCGGGCTGCTCTCCGCCGACCCAGCGCTTTTGGGCTTCGCAGACCGGTACAGCGCCGAAGGCAAAACAATCGAGAAAGATGAAGATGGCAATGATACTTTCCCCGAGGCAAGGCTGGAAATTGAAGAGGGCGTTTTGAAGCTTGAGACGCTCATGGAGAATGCGGTGGACAAGAATTTCGATCGGTTGGAGATTTGGACACTGAGGAATGTTTTGTGCCTGCCTAGGGGAGAGGAGGAGTTGGTGAATTGGGTGCGGCTGGGGCATTATGAGGTAAGTTTGATGAGCAGCAGTGGTGGTGGAAGTGGATTTGAACTGACCGGACATGCTTAGAACCTCCAAACCCCCTCCAAAGACACCACCCTCACGCCCGAGTCCCTCTACACCCTCCGCCGCAAACTCATCGAAACGCAAAAACTTAACGCCGCCCTCGCCGCAGAAAAAAAGCGCAACGACGCGCAAATAGCACGCTTGAAGGCACTCCTCCTACCCAGTCCAACGAAGCGCGAACCCCGATCGTCCACAAGTCCCGCAAAACCCAACGGAACACAAGACACCACCGCACCCTTCGCTTTTCTCACACACACCCCCGCCGCCCAAACCCCTCGGCATCCAACCCCTCCCCCAAACCTCCAATACCGAATCCCGAACACCACTTACAACACACACATCCTTCACGACCTCGCAACTCCCCTACCTGCGCCAACTCCTCGCATCCCTACAACCGCACCTCGCTACCACCGCGCTGCCCACTTCGAATAAGAACGCCGACGAAGTGAACCGCGAGCGCAAGGTGTATGTGGAAAGCCAGAGTAAGCGTGTACTGGAGAGGAGAGGTGTGGATACGAAGGATGGGGTTGAGGGAGTATGGGAGGGGAGTAAGGTTGGGGCGGAGGAGGTTAGGGGGTTGGAGGGGTTGGTGGGGGTTTTGGGAAGGGGGAAGGGGGAGGATGTTAGGATGGAGGTGGAGGAGGAGGATGCGGGGGCTGGGGTGGTGAAGGGAGAGGGAGAGGGAGAGGGGGATGGGGAGGAGATGGATACGTCATAATGTTGTGATCTGTGATCTTTGAAATTGGGACTTGCGTCTGGGCGTCATTGGGAGCTGGAGTCTTTTGGACGAGAGATGATACCAAGGGTTGTACTTTTTGATTTTGAAATTGATTTTGAAATAGGAGCTTATCGCAATTCTTACTTCATGTCCTATAGATGGAACCTAGCTACATGGTCGAGCGAGCAATGAAAGCCACCCGAACAGTGGAGAAATATCCTGTGTAGTTTGGTTCGTATTGCAGTATTTCGGATATAATTCTTCAATTCTGTTTTCTCCCGTAGTGTATAGTCATATGATGAGATGAATGCGTGATACGCCCGAATACACAGCAAAAGAGTACTTTCCCAATATTCATGTCTCAGACCATACAAAACGCGGCTAGATCACACACTTTCCATCTGTCTCTACCGTGGCTTGGCGCGTTTACCCTTTACGGATCGTCAGTCAGCAACCACGACCACACACTCACCACCACAATTATCAACTCCAACATTCTCCAATCCTCGAGCTACAAATCGCGAAGAATAATACCACTACATCCGTGTCACGTCGGTAGAAAACATGCAGCGCCGCATGGTAACGCCCCTCACAGAATTTGCATCTCCATATCGGAGCGGCGCTAATGGCAATGCAGCTCACCAAAGAAGAGGAGGCCTCGGCGGGCGGCGAGGACATGGAAGTACGTCGCGAAGATCAAGAAAAGATCAATCGCTTTAGCTCGCTGCATCAGAAAGAGACTGCGCTTGAGGAAGAGCTAAGAGCAAAGATTGTACGCATTCACGTGGGGCGCTGCTGAAATCCATTCACTGATCTCACGCGCAGAAGGAGAAGGAAGATCTCGAGGAGATTTCTACAGAGCTGGAACTCGTTGATGAGGAGGACAAAGTTCCGTATGTCTCACATATTACTAATGGCTACTTTGGAAGCACGCTGATGGCGTCAATTTAGGTACAAGGTTGGCGACTGCTTTGTGTCGTTACCGCAACCTCAGGTCTTGGAGCTGCTCGAGAAGTCAACGGAGACGATTGACGGCGATGTGGATGAGCTTAAGACGAGGTTAGAAAAGGTCCAGGAGGAGATGGGAGAATTGAAGAAGGCGCTGTATGGGCGATTCGGGAGGAGCATCAACCTCGAGACGTAGAGACGTGATTTTGGACGCTGGCCTCGCGAATTCAAGCAATTCGACAAGTCGACAAGCACAGCATGACATCGGCATTGTGTGCTTTCCGTTGCTTGGTAATTCAAACGTGGTTGGTAATTCATTTGCACCGCGATCGGAATGCTACTATAACACCGAATACCGACTGCCTGCAACACACCATACCGATCACACCTGCTAATAAACTCGGTGCCACACAGTTGGGACGTTATGCGGAGCAACGCCTTGCCTGCCGTTAACTGACTAGCAATCAATGTCTCCGCATCGGGAAGAAGACCTCGGGAGCGCTCCAAGCGGGCGCTAAAACTGCATCACACGTAGCTTGCAGCGAGCGCGCCTTACAAATTATTTTGGCGCACGCTTCCTCGGATACATGAATCACAGGCGCGGGGAAACTTGCCACTACCACTTGCGTTGACGAATACTAATCTTTTTGTTCTCAAATCTTGTGCTGATTTCCTTGTACGCTTTTTGTTCCAGATCTGCGTCATGGAGTCCAATTCGGCTTTAGAGAGGACTTATTCCCGGGAGCAACAACGGCTCGCAAGCGATGGACTTGAAGCTGTGATGAGCCCGGTTGCGCTGGTGAGAAGTGTTACGTCGAGGAGTCAGAAAAGTCAGAGGAGTTCACGAAGCCGTCGTATGCATCTCATCTCATCATCTATAAACTCCATCCTCACTGACTCAAACCCCACAGCCGAACAAGAAAGTTCTCGCACCGCATACCTGCGCGCCCTAGATAAAGATGTCGAAACCTCCTCCGATCCAGAAAAAGAAGCCGGTGATGACGCCAATATCGAGGAAGTCGCAACCCACTCCCCAGTCACATCCTCAACGCCATCAGTAACGAGTAATGAACCGCCACCACAACGCCATGTCATCCGCTTCGAAGAAAACGACCCCGAAAATCCAAACAACTGGTCCATGCCCAAGAAATGCTACGCCCTCTTCGTCGCCATCATGAGCGTTATGAACAGCACCATGTCCTCGTCGCTTGCGTCTGGCGCCACGCCTCCGATTTCGAAGCACTTTGGCACCACGTCCGAGTATCTGTTGATTCTGCCTACCTCGATGTTTCTCGTCGGATACGTGTTTGGACCCATGGCGTGGGGCCCGTTGTCGGAGTCGTATGGTAGGAAAGGGACGATGGTGTATTCATTCGCTATCCTAACGGTCTTCTCGATTGCGTCAGCGGTGGCGCCAAATTTCGGGGCGCTCGTGGTGTTTAGGTTGTTGGTGGGGATTGGGGGCAGTTGTGCGATTTCAGTGGTTGGGGGGGATTTGTGCGGATGTGTGGCATGATCCGGTGGCGAGGGGGAGGAGTATGGCGATTTTCATGGTGAGTTTTTGTGTGTGTTTGTATGGGCAGGGTTTGGGAACTGATGAATGGGCAGGCTGCTACGACTTTTGGACCGATATTGGGACCGCCAGTCTCGGGATTCATTTCGGTTGTCAGCTGGAACTGGGCATTTTGGATCGGAGCGATACTTGCCGGTGCGACTTGGCCGCTTTTCTGGTTCTTTCCTGAGACGTATGGACCGGCGATATTGAAGCGAAGAGCCCAAAGGCTACGCAAAGAGACGGGAGACGAGAGTATCGTTGCGCCGCTGGAGCTCGAGAAGACGGACCTCAATCATATCGTCACAGTCGTACTATCTCGACCACTACGCATGATATGCTTCGAGCCACTCGTACTCTTCACCTGCCTATACCTAAGCTACGCATGTAAGTCCCTCCTCCCACATCTCCCCAAGCCAAACTTAAGACTAAAACAATCTCCCAGACGCCATATTCTACATCTACCTGCAATCCTACCCCATAATATTCACTGGCATCTACTCCTTCAACCGCGGTGAAAATGGCCTGGCCTTCCTCCCCATCGGTGTCGGCGCCATCATCAGCGCAGGCATGTACCTCTCCTGGGACGCCATCCTGATGCGCGCCCAACGCCTGCAGCGCCCCTGGGCCGCCAACGAAGAAATGCGCCGCTTGCCGCTTGCCTGCGTCGCTGGGCCCTTTTTCGTAATATCCAGGCTTCTGGCTCGGCTGGACGGCGCGCGAAGACGTGCACTGGATCGTCCCCGCGCTCGCGCGGGCGGGACTCTATTGGCTTGGGCTAGTCCTGTGTCTCTTCATGGCGTTGCGTCAACTCACCTACCCGTCGACGCGTACGAAGTGTTTGCCGCGAGCGCGATGGCTGCTGCATCGCTGTCGCGCAGTACTTTCGGCGCGATATTGCCGTTTGCCGCGAAGCCTATGTATCGGGCAATGGGTGTGGCGTGGGCGACGAGTCTGTTGGGGTTCTTCAGCCCTTGCGCTGTGTGTGGTGCCGTTTGTGTTTGTCAAGTGGGGTGGCAAGATGAGGGAGAGGAGCCCGTTTTGTCAGTATTTTGAGGCAGAAGAAGAGGGAGGAGCAGGAGGGGGAGCAGAGGGAGGTGGAGAGGAGGGGGCAGAGAGAGAAAGAGGGGGTCTAGATGTGCTTTGTAAGTATTGCGGACTTGTAATAACACTAATTGATTTCGAGACTATCTAACTTCAAGGTCTTCGTGCTTCAAGTAGTTGCTAAATGGCATATCAGGGCAGAAGAGTACAGTCGCATGTTCTCATTTTGATCAACTGCTTTGAGAAAGTCGCATCGAAAAGCAGTTTTTTGAACCGTTCTTGGTAAAAGCCCTGACACCACCGTGTCATCCCGACACACTGGCAATTTCCCTGATAGTTCTTGGTTCCGGACGTCATGTACGGTTGTTTGAACACCGTGCATGATTGATGCACAGTCATGCGCAGCCCCGCTCTGCCAGAGTGCGTCAATTGGCCCTTACGTATTCAGACAGCGTCACCTACCTAATCATCAGCGATCCATTTCCTGATATAAAAGTCGGACAGGTGATGGCCTTATGACCAGAGAGGTTCATTACGACATGAGCGCAGCCATTTCAGCGCCTGTTATTTCAATACTGACTGCTCGGCCTGCTTGAGGTACACATATCATGATTGTTCCACACCCAAAGCTAAATCGAAATTCCAGCCACTTCGTACATGCGGAGCATCGAGCTTTTATTTGCAAGTCTGATCGTCGTTCAGTGAACGAACATGTCTCCGGCTATCAGAGGAGGCGAAGATGAAGTCCGCCCGATACAACCTCGCACCCGACCACCGGTCCCCGTCCCAATGTGGAGAGAATCTTTGCAAATAAACATGAATTATTTCAATCGCCTCGAAAATTGCGAGCCAAGCCAGGAGTACTTTGACCGAATCTTGCAGCATGTTCTCGGACAGCTGTACCTTTCACGTGAAAATGCTCCTTCATTGGACGTGCTGGACAAGAAGATCCCAGATGACCATCTACGAAAGATTCTATATCAATTCAAATCTGATCCAGGATTGAACCCAAAGCCCAACATGAATCCGGCACTAGCAACAGGCATACTTCTGTAGGTACACATCATACAGCTGCCACAGCATACCCTGACATCATACAGCTCAGCCAAAATTAAGCATTCATCTAATATTATACTATCGCCAGAGATGCTGGCAGTCATCATCTCACAGTCTTACGGAGATGGCTCTGAAGAGTGTCAATAATACCCGGCGAAACTTTCATAGTGGAAACAAAAAATTGCTACCCCTATTGGAAACTTCCTACTACGCTGGAAGCGGGAAAGCAATCCCTACGAGCGATGGCAATTTCCGGCATTCCAACGCCACGCCTTTCTAGTGAACCGACAACCTGTCACGCTGGAATTTCATTTCCGCTACATGTCACTTGTTGTCGAAGATACGGAAGGTTATTCCGGTATCATGGTATACCGCGGTTGGGAAGAGGGTCGTATTCCTAGCCTGAGAGCAGAGAACCAGACGAGGAAACAAGAGAAAAGGCACATGCTCATGTTGCGACTATTTCCGACCGAAAATTGCTCTCCTTTCACAATCGTCTCTGTAGATGATATTCAGTTCAGCGAACGTATCTACGTCATGTCGACCGAGTGTGCAGGCTCTCTTACTCCCATGATTTTGTTCATTAAATATCTCAGAAGGCTGTTTGTGGAATACACCTCGGAGTGGTACTCCATTCTTGCGCAGATTGCAAAAGAGGTTGATCCTACTGTCAGTCCCCTTAGCTTGAACTTCAAGCCCCTCAAGTACACATCCAGCTGGTCTTAGTAGGTATCCGACCTGTCCGACTACGATCCGAAGCGATTGCTGATGTTTGACGACAAGGACCAAAACCTCTCAGTGACTTACTTCAAAATCTTCCAACTTCTGCGCACCTGCGGTAACATGATTGAGGAAACACATCAAGACTTTCTAGACTGGCACGCCAAGATCTTGTCGACGTTTAAGAACGATCTTGAAGAGCAACTAGACGCTCAAGGCCCGGTGACCGATGTCGACATGAAGAAGATGCGCGAGGAGTGGAAGAAGTGGAAGAACAAATCGAAACGCAGATTCGAGGAGTTAAGGGGGCGTTTCAAGGACAAACAGCAGGACGTCCTGAGCCTTACAGAAAGTGTAGGTCTCTACAATAACACGCAAGAGAGCGTCGCTGATGTCCAAGCTTCAAAATTTCATCGCTGTTAACGAGGCTAAGCAGAGTACGAGACAAAATCGCTATGTACTCGTATTCACCACTGCGACGGTCATATACCTTCCGCTGAGCTTCGTAACGGTTGGTGTTCCCCATTATCCGTGAACTACCATCGAATGCTTATAATAATCAGGCTATCTTTAGCATGAATAATATTCGCGACAGTAGTCCGTTGTATCAGTCCATTAGGCCGTTTGCCTGGACGATCATTGCGGTGTCACTTGCGACTTATGCTGTAGCTGGGATTTTCTATCCTGCATATGCGAGGTACTACGTTGAAAGCAGCAGAGAAATTGAAGGCAAAGAAGAAAGTCATGGACGGGAGCGTCTCATTGTTGCTGAACAGATATGGATATAAGTCTAGAGCATCGGAAGGAGAAGGTTCGACTGTCTAATCGTCACACATGTCAAAGCCTACTGTAGACCGTAGAAAGACATTTAAGTCGTTCGACTCAGCGGCTTATCATTCAGATAAATCCGATAATGGAGAGTATACTGTCGCGACGACAATTTCAGTGTTATCTAGAGCCAGAATGCCCCGAGCTAAAGACGCTCTTCCTCTCGAACCACGGCCAGTCATACACAGTGTCCGGCATCTACTACAATGGTAAAACAATCCCCCAAGAACTGCTAGTCTCGATATAGTTCTGCGCAATCTCCGTTTGCATGGTGCAGGGCAAACACGATCCGCAGATGCGCTTTGTAGCAACCAGCCAGATGCCGTCTAGCAAGACCATCAGGTAGCGATTAAAGAGTAAAGATATACCGCTGCAAAACGTATGGTCATCTGCCTGGGCCCGGATACTGAGAGCACGTAGAAGCAGTGGATTCCCTGTCAGAAAAGACTTCGCGGCGAGTATAGCTTCGAGGCATTAGTATTAATGAGTGCCGAGGCTTTATATAGCTTGAACTATACGATTCACTCATTACAGACAAAGGGTGGAGAAGCCATAGCTATTTTTAAGGCCATAACTAATTTCCTGATATATAAACGGTACCTTCTAAGCAAGGCAGTTGAGAATCACTGGACTTGTCTTTGATGCCATTGTTTAGAGATCTACTACCTATTTATACTGTCACAGAGTAAAGACTGCCAAAATAGGATAGCTGAGCTGACCAAGGAACTAAGACTACAGGTGATGTCGATCGCGAGATTAGAGCGACAAATTCCCGTCTACAGCCTGATGGCTCCCTCACCAGCCTCATCTCCAACGGACTGGTGAGGTATTCCCGACCTTGGTAATGTGAGTACCATAGCCTCAACGCCTGTTCCTCCAAGTAAACTACTGGAAACCAACGGGTGCCGTTTTGCCTTGGCGATGCCATAAAGTAACGCCGCAATGCCAAACATGAAGTCCGCGATCATAAACGTCAAGAAGATACACGTAAATAGCCGCCCAGATCCTACTTTGAGATAGTGAGAGTCGAACGTATCGTCAAAGGCGGAAGAAAATCCTGGAAAGAGTAGAGATACAAAGTACATAACGTTAACTCCCAGTTTTGTCCCCAAGTTAGGAAGGCCGGGGCGTTTCAGTCTTCTGATGAGGTACAATGAAGCAATGGAGAGAGGTACGTAGAGTAGAAAGGAAAGTGGGTCTTTAAGTACTTGGCGTAGCGGCACTACGAACCACGACACTGTTGATACCAAGAGTAACAATTTTGGCTGTACGTACTGTGGAAGTTCTAGTGCGAGAGGCGCTATAGGCAGCAAACTGTTAACTGATGGTAAGTAATATGTATAGCTTGTCCTCGTAGTTGTACTTACAGATTCAAAGGTCCGATATCCATGGTAATAGAAAAGGTCCACATCGATCCAAATGGTAGCTTGCTATATATGATGAACGTGTAAAGACATAGCCCGAGAACTACTGGGAAGTAGAGCAGGACTGCTGCAGCTACAGAGAACCTAATCTTGATCAGAACATATGCAGTATAGCAGCGCGAGTAGAGAGTTACCATTGTCCGTATATTGCTAATCTTTGTTAGCGTCCTGACAATTGCAAGCATGTCCATGTGGAGAGAGCCTACTAAGATTTTTTAATCTCAAGTCAGATCTTAGATTATCCCAGGTACCCATTGTGTGCTCAAATAATGGTGGCGAGGGTCATTTGTCGCAAGCCTTGTGTCAGGAAAATAGGGTCAGACTCAGAATAGATAGTGTTATGGAAGATGAAGTAGCAGGTGTATCGTAAGATGGACGAATAGTTACCCTGAAGGGAGTAGCAAGAGCTATCTACTTATACAAGGGAGCCTCTTATGTAATCAGCTCCCGATCTTATACCAACTTTCCTGAAGTCTGACACCTTGCAATAGATGCGGATGGAACCATGGACATATGATGCGAGATAAATACATTTCGCAGTGAATTTCATAGGCTGTGCAGTAGTTTATTTAGAGGACACAGCCACTCTGACATGCAACAGAAAGGAATGACGTTGGCAGGCGGCTAGGGTGCGTTCCTGTTTGGCTGCAGCCTGCCACGGCCCCTTGGAGGAACTTCAGCTGGACATTGATAAACACCCGCTCATTGGTCTGAGAATATCTTTATTTAACTCAGTGATACAGAGTTCACGGTTCTGGTAACAATCTATACATGCGCTTTTTATTTACAGTCCCTCTGTCCTGGTTGTTCCATCCCGTCGCCATTCCTCGGACGCGCATGGTGCGATGGCACCCTTCGATATCCTACAACGGCTTTATCAACCACTTGATAGAACTTCTATCCGACTTCTCTGTATCAAGCCGGGGTTTCCCTCAGAGCCCATAGAATGCGCGTTCGTCACCGTAGCTGACCTTGCTGAATCACCGCCATACACTGCGCTCTCATATGTCTGGGGCAAAGAAGGCAGTACAAGTCCTATAATCTGCAACGGCGTTCAGAAAGATATCACAAAGCAACTGGCTGACGCACTGAAGCATCTGCGACGCTACCCAGGGTGGCGATCGGTTCCCCGCTGGCCTGAAGATCACCCGCTGCGTTCGAATAGAAATGCATGGAACGGATTCGCAAGAAATCGACACGAAAGTGATCCAGATGATACTGGAGATGGAGAAGTTTTGCTATGGGTGGATGCACTCTGTATCAATCAGGATGACAACAATGAGAGAGCAAATCAAGTCAAGATGATGGGCAAGATATATGCACACGCCTCGGGCGTCAGCATATGGTTCGGTAACGAAGACCGAGAACCACCAGACTTTGTTCAGACAAAAGACCTTAGAAGTGTTGGCCATATCGGTGCATACGGCCGGATCCCCATCTCGCTCTCTTTCATCGCGCAGGCCCTGCGAAACGCTAGAGGACCAAAACACAGATTAGCAACACTCAGACCCGTTGGAGATTCAGTTCATCGGAATACGGTGTACGGTTTTCCGAACTCTGATGCGCCAGAGTGGGATACGATACGCCAGTTCTTCACCAATGCTTGGTTTGAAAGAGTTTGGGTAGTGCAAGAGGCAGTACTTGCGAGCAAAGCAACAGTGCTAATTGGCGACTGGGAAATCGAATGGGCAGCTATCGGCGAAGCAGCGGTTTGGTTCCAGTCTGAAGGGTATGCCATGCCAGCAGTTTTAAGATATCAGATGCGAGATCAACAGCACTTCTTACCGGTTTCCAGAACTGTCTCCGTGTGGACTTTGTGCTCTCGGCCTAACCATACTGTTCCGCTCCTAGATCTACTATCCGAGTTTCGCACCAGGCAAGCCACAAACCCCAAAGACAAAGTGTATGCGACGTTTGGCATTGCCGAAGAATTAGCATACATGGAAGAGAATGGCCTTCATCAACTGCTAGAGCCGGATTATAGAGAGACCAAAACCGTTGCTGAGGTCTATCGTGACATCGCCATATTTCTTATCATCGAGTACGGACATCTTGGTGTACTTTCTCACGTGGGAAAGTCGCTGGAACCAGACTGGCCTTCATGGGTTCCTGACTGGCGCCAGGACAAAGCCTCAAACATACTTTCAATAATGCAGGGTGCCGACACACACAATGCAAGCAGAGATCAGTCACTCCAGGTTGGCATCAGCGAAAATCCTTATACAATATCACTGCAAGGAGTTGAGGCGGATGTAATCACAGCCTACGGCGACAAACTTGCTAGCTACGGCTTTGGGTACGTGACGTACAAGGAGGAAATCGAATTCGCGAGAGCGGCATGGGATCTTTCGCAGTCTATTCACACATCGGACTCAAATATGAATGGGAGCATCTCAAGCACTTTCATCCAGACGCTGGTCACCGGCTTCAGCACGGAACCCAGCTTCCAAGAAGACGCTCTGCAATGGTTCGCACAGCATGCGCAATTGTCTCTCAATACGTCACGGACTCGTCGCCTGAAATATTTGATGAAAAAGCGTTCGGATCCAGGACGATTCCATGAGATCTTTGTGCAGGCTTGCGTCGACAGGCGGTTCTTCGTGACTAAGAATGGGCTGATGGGCGTTGGACCCGATGGCATGAAGGAGGGCGATGCAATCGGGATATTATTTGGTGGTAGGGTACCCTACGTTCTTCGGCCTGTAGATAATGGTTTCAGATTTGTTGGAGAGTGTTATGTGTCAGGCTTGATGAACGGCGAAGCAGTTCAGACTTGGAAAGATGAAGGAAGCAAGAAACACGTCTTCGAGCTAGTCCAGGCGTGAGATGATGAATGGACAAGCAGAAAGCGATAGAAAGACGCAAGGCATCAACCTAAAAAAGAAAAGTGTCGAAGTTTGCGGCAGTGGTAAGGCAAGAGCAAAAATAGAGTGACAAAAACATTCAACAGAGGAGATTCGCTAATGGTCACCCACTTAACTACTAACCCTCCGGTACGATGCTTAAATGATGCAGAGCGAACGGGATGCCTTGTTCTCATCGTCCTATGGTCGAATGTGAAAGATTGGTGGAGTGCAGTGGTATATGGTGTTGATATGTGATCCCGAGGTTGTGTATCGGCAGCTTCCCCACTTTTTCCACACCACACATACGTTACCATATGAATGTGGCTCCTCTGATTGTGAATTAGACTAATACTGCTTTTACTCTGGTTAAGGTCCTGAATAAACTTTCAATCGCTCCGCAAAATCGTGTCGCTTTGTGCTCGGTTTGGTGATTCAGACTGCCAGGTACTTCGGAAGAGATTTGATCGCACATTGCACGAACTTTTGTGCACACGATAAATTTACACTAGGTATGATCGAAATTCTCATGCTCCGTGTGTAGCAGGGTAAGACTCATGGGTTACCAGGCTGCTATTCATTGCATGAAGGTCTTGACGTTTTCAGACTATCTTGCTCAGTTCGAAACGCAATACATTGTGATAGCTCTGATATTCTTGGCTTCTGGTGATAGTTGTGCTTCAGCTACGAACAGGGTATGGCATCAAATTAAATCCTGTCAACACCAGCATCTATCGCTAATCATCTTGTATGTAATTTCGACTGCCAAGTTATTTTTACTAATCGCTAAACTCAAATTATACATCCTATAGCAAAATGAGCCGAGTGCTCTAGATTATGTTACGTTTGCTGCAAGCGAGGAAGTAGCTATCTGCACCCCCTGTTGCACCTGCAATACTTCCGAGGCGAACGACAGTAGCACAATTTCATGGCTTACCTGCAGCTCAATCCTTCAAGGATCTCATGCCTCATAAGGATAGATCGACACCGCTCTCTTACCCTCTTGCACCCGCATCTGGATTTTGTTGTCCACACTTACAGAGGGAGATATAACCAATTGGGATTGATATGACGGCATGCGAATGCGAAACATATTATCAGTGCTCCTGAATATGTTCTAGATGAAATTAGATATGCTGCTGCTGATGATTATAATTGCTTTCTATAGGCGAAGGATGCACCAAATTTCTAAGCCTCATGCTCATGCTGATATTGACAATACGTGGTATCTTTGTGCAAAGGCAGGCCGCTGAGGACACATGGTCAGCATCCATTTGAAACGACCATGCGAGAACCAGGTCTATGCCACCTTCCCACTCTCCTAAGGCTAGTTATAGTAAACAAACTTGCATATTCCCCAATGCATAGCTGGCGAGGATACGTATATCGCCACTAATGATAGTCATATGCTACCCAAATCAGTTTGCTTGCTAACCTCACAAATCATCGATATGTATGCTGCAATTCCCTAAAATCTATCTTCGCATGTAAGCCGACATTCATCTCTGTCAATAAAAAGACCGTTTCAGATCATTCCGCGTGTGGGTCATCGATCGAATGCCTGGTGATCGCCGATGCACCTATTTTTGTGGATTCCTAATGAGAGTACTGGTCAAATTGTACCTGGGTTTGTATCAATCAGCGATATGCGTGTGGGAACAAAGTCAACAGGGCGCCCACCGCGTCCTACCATAAGAATGTAGCCTCTTAGGACATACCAGCCATCGTTTTTTTCGCCAACAGCACACTCACTGTAGGAACGGCATCTCGAAAGGGCCTATGGTTGCTCCGGAATGCTCTCCGGTATGCAAACAGTACTCTGTCACCGCAAACAGTACTCTATAGCCGCAAACATAACCTTGCGACCACGTACATTTAGAAGTTAGTGCGAATGAAAAGACTTCCATGAGCATAGAGCTGGTTTTTGGGGGCTCTAGACAGATTAGCGTGGGTAAGAGGGCTGGATTCAAGTCAGATGTTCGGGCTGCCTTCCTCGCATGTTTCAAATCACTATCATGCCGAAAGGCTGGTAGACAAAGAGAACAGAATACAGGCAATAACGCCGTGCGGCCGGGGAAACTAGATTGAGAGGCATGAGAAAGTATTTAAACACAACTTAGGCACGAACTGAACTGTCACATTTGTGTTTTACTTACTCTTAGCAGGGCTAAGTAAAAGACCATGACAACCTTCAAATCCATCCAAGACTGTGTGGATTACCATTTTCATGACTCTACTTTACTCAAAGAAGCCTTCCTGGCCTCAGGGGCCCCTATTTCGAATAAGGACATTGAAGGGCCCGTAAAGGGCAACAAGCGGCTCGCTCTCGTTGGTGACGCTGTGTTGCGCCTTGCTGTACTTGACGAGTGGTTCGAAAGTGGCACAAGTACAGGTATGGTGGAGGTTTGGTTATGTACATGCTGCTGACACAACATTAGCCGAGGGGCATGGGCGAGTGGTGGAAGTTGGCACCAACGAGCGACTGGCAAAGGTTGCTGAGAATTGGAATCTTAAAAAATATATGATTGAGAACCCTTGTCAACAAGGAGAAGCTCCGAGAGAACTTCTCGCCTCGACCGTGGAGGCGATCCTCGGTGCGGTGTGGCTGGACTCTTATCAGGATTTTGGGGAGGTGCAGAAGGTTTTTAAGAAGCTCTGCTCCTAGTTTCCGCATGAGACGAAAGCGGACAAGTCACGTCATTCATGTTGGCGACACTCACTATCCCTAAACCGCCAGAACTTCTTTGCGAGTCATTCCTTACATAGTCTCCTTTGTTAGTAAAAATAAAACAGTCTTTACCCCTCCCAGACGACTTGTGATGCCGCTATGGGTGACAGGCTTAGTTCAAGCATAAAGGTAAATCGAACCTGAATGAACTGCACAGCACAGCATGATGATAAATAAACTCCTATTCCAGATTGAACCCGTTGTTTGGAGATCTACTATACTGCCACAGGACAAAGACTGGCGGGTACCCGGTGCCGATGGTGGCAATGAATTGATAGCAGATGAGGCTGAGCTAGAAGAAGCTGCAATAAACGGCAATGCAGAAGCTATAGTGACTCATGCTGGAATTTGGGCAGGACAGCGGAGCTTATTGCTCACTGAGGCTGGAAGATATGTACTAGTGTCAGCAAAAGTGTCGCATATTGGCAGTTATGTCGGTACCAGCCGTTCTAAGACCAACAGAGCGGGTTACGCGGTACAGATTTGCCGGTGAAGCAAACAACGGTACGAAGATGCAAGACATTAACCTAATATGAAGAAGAGACGGAAAGAACCAAAAAATAATCGGCGGAGGGAGCGCACTAAGGCAAGGCCAAAAATAATGCAACAAAAACATTCAACAGAGGAGATCCGCTAATGGTCACCCACTTAACTACTAACCCTCCGGTACGATGCTTAAATGATGCAGAGCAAACGGGATGCGTTGTTCTCATCGTCCTATGGTCGAATGTAGAATATTTCCAGAGTTGGGTTGTATATGATGTTGATGTGCAATGTCCATGTTGTGCTGGCTGCGCACACTTGCCCCACTCTTACCCTACCAAACATGCATTATATAGATGATACCAACTCTGCTTGCTCTCAGGCTATGGCCTTGACAAATTGTCAATCGCTCCCCAGTGTCGTGTCATTGCGCGCTCCATTTGGTCATTCATGCGCGACTACAGTAACGTGTCAAATGTTTCATATTCGCTTCACCACAAAGTATATTTGAGCGGGGTTAGGAAAAGCTTTCCAAAGGTGCATCGGGTGTACTCATGAGACGAACGTGTAGTTCACTGCATCAACTCGGGAGATCCACTTGACTATAGAGCGTTGTATCGCACTCGCTCAGATCAATAGCCAGCGTTGGTAGGATTCGTAGCCTCCACCGACCCTCTAAAATCCTTCTCTTGATACTACTCTCAACTTACCACCAGTTGGAAACTTTATGCCGGCCTTTTGCTGTATGCTGTTGTAATGTCGTGACGGCGAGCCTTTTATTGAACATGCCGCGGTTGGTGAACCGCGCACCAGCAAGAAGTGTAATTTCGAAGACGCCGTTAGTGGAATTTACGGTTGGGCAGAGCAAGATATGTACGCATGTGAAGGTCAAGCAATATCCTGAGTTTTTATGTGTTCTTGGGTATAGTAATACGTCGTGGTGCGAGCACGGTATTCGACCCAACGTTTTATATTGATTGCATGCCGTATCATCACAGTGTAAGTTTGCTCCTGGGGGCGAATTTCGGGCTCGGATGACCGTACCATCAAGCGGGACGGTTAGACCATCTTCTGTATGGTTCTCGAGACTAGGTTTCAGCTCGGATTTCTCAAGGCGCAATGCTCGGCGTAGCATCTCAACAAGTGCTGGTTGCGCCCAAGCATCGAAGTACCTTCTAGCCCTCCAAAAGAGTTTGATAGATGGCTCCGTGTATTTGACTTCGAAGTCTTTGCCTCCGTTGACCAAAGAGATTATACTGTATATGCGATCTCGGTGGTCTGTACACTGTGCATCGTAAAGTGGATATAGAACGTCCCATATCCAGCGAAGGCCTAGGCCGTCCCCATCGGGTTGTATGGCATGTTAGTCTTGCCACATGTCGAAACGGGATACGGGGTTGAGAGGCATTATCGCATGTATCGTGTGCTCAGCAAAGCCACGAGATCTCATAGCAACTACGACGTGTTCCAAGGGAGCGTGTTCTTCCATAGTATGAATAATTGACTTCTTTGAACGAACAATCTCTTGAACAACCCAGGCACGACTCCAGTATGGATCACTATGAAGTTGCACAAGCGGATGCAGAATATCTCGAATTGCGGGCGTATCGTGAGAATGGTTTATCAGGAAAAGTGCTGTATTGAGGTGTGGCTTATCCCCGAGCCATATTAGAGTCTCGATTGCACCACTGTAAATATCTGCCATGCGAGTGACCTGGTTTCCTTTTTCTGTGGCATCCTCTTGATTGAAAGAAATGGCGTCGATCCACAATAGAGTGCACGGAAATTGATGACTCGCTTTTTGCAGAAAAAGATAGAGAGATTGTTGTGTACTGTGAATTTGCAGTCGTTCAGTGCGATTTCGTGCTTCTTGCTGGTCGGCGAGCCCCATACATAAGACAGACATCGATACTGGGCTTTCTCTTTTTCTGTATACTCACGAAGTTCCACGTGAACCAGACCATGCTCAGGGTCCGGAAGAACGTCCAGTAGGCGGAGGGAATCTTCGGGGCGTTCCAGTTGCTCGTATGCGAAGGCCGGCCTCCGGACCGCGTCGACTTCCGACTGGTCCATGAGGCTGAAGGTTCGATATTTCGACCGAGCGTTTTGCAAGCTGAGGTGAGTTGCGAAAGTATATTGTTCTATCTGCCGGTTCCATTAGAATATATGACAATGTGACTATTACAGTCGTTGCAGGCGCAGTAAGCTGAGCACATGAGCAGCAAGGCGACGCAGCTCAGACTTGGCATTGCTATCATTGGTGATACCATCAGTCTTGCACCCGCTCTGTGATCGGACATGGTGGCTATATCAGCAGGATGCTTCTCCAATTCGAGTGGCTGCCAGCGCTAAGCATACAAGGCAAAATGCCTTCTTCGACTGAACTCAGGATGACTGTGATTTGGGTACCTAGGTATCATATTCGTGTCACGTGGGGCGAACGAAAATAATCATCCTTGCGTTCTTGCAGCTGTCATCTGTAACAGTCCTGGAATACCTGCGCCGACACAATGGTCACGACAGTTCCAATAGCAGCTTTTGTGCGACTCTGATATGACGTACGACAAGCTGTTTAGGAGACCCGGGACGTGGAGCCAGATCCGCGTAGTACTAGCCAGCCTCCCATGTGCTCTCCGTGTACACGTGAGTCAGGGAAGCTCTGGCTGACGGAGACGGTCTCCGCTCATTTCACGCAGTGGCTCCCATTGGCAGTCGTGGTGAGTTTGACGTTGGTGGTGGTGATGACTGAAGCCCGAAGGATGGTGCCTGAAGATCTCCTGCCCTAAGCGAACGTAGGATGCACGCGACAGAGAGTGACGCTTTCTCCCACCGCATCCGCCTTTCTAGATGGTCGACACCGTGCCACTATCGCCCCGACGAGACCTCGAATCCCGCAGCGACTCGTGCTCTCTGTTGGACGCTTCGGCACCAGCCATTCACCGGGCGCATACCGGTAGGGAAAATCCCTGCAACTGTCGCTAGCTCTCGGCTTGTCGAATGCGCCTTTGTGCTTCCTTCGAGCTTCCCGAAGCCCTGCTGGCAGCACTGACCGCCAGAAGTGTCATCATTGCATGCTTGCCAGCGACAATCCGAGGGAAATAGCGAGGTTTTTTTGATCGCTCGGGTCTAAATTTGCGTCGGACGGCATTTGGTTGGGCTTGAGCACGGCGCGTGCGGCCCAAGACATTTCACTACCGCAGGCCAGTGCGCCGCAAAGACAGCTGCTACGGACAGATTATGGAGGTGAGCAATCCGCCGGCTTCCTAGACGCCGTTTCTTTTTGCTATATACCCTGCCCTCTCCCACGTGTGGGTTTCGTTTTCGCGTCCTGCATCTTCTGTGCCTTCCTGCGACGCTACTGGCCGCTCCCCCCTCAGCCCTACGATATGTGTGCTTGCATGGCTTGAGTGCGGCGACTGCCTCCCGCGTGTCACTCCTGTAAAACTAGACCGCTGCTTCTGATTGTATTATTTGCTCCTCCCTGGCCGTCTGCCGTGTATATTCTCTTGTTCCTATTATATGGTCTTGTCACACACGTCATTGCTGCACGATTCTTAGAGTGTACCACGCTTCACCGCACCGCACCATGTCCTGCGTCAGGTGAAGGTGAAAAGGACCGTCTATTACTTTTCCCTGCGTTTTTTCGCACTTCAATTTCTTCTTTTGCGTTTCTCGTTTCAGCAATATACCCTGTACCACTACCACATTTATGGAGTCCCGCATTATCGCCCGACGTCCGTCTGCGCCACTGGCAGGAGAGAGTTCTCGTCATAATGCCAGAGTGGCGGAGGGAAGCGGCGCATACGATGCCGCAGCACAGTCGTCGGCAAGCTCGTCATTGTTGGACCCAAGAGCACAGTTGACAATGGAGCGTTTCTTGCAGGATCTTCCCAACGCCGAACAACCACCCCAAGAATTTCCGCCACAGTACCACACCGGTCGAATGCCGAACAGCAAGGCTGGCGATGGAAAGCCACGGTTGCTCCTGATGGGCCAGAGGAGGTGAGCATCCCGCACATGCAAATGGTGTCTGAAGCTCACTGTACAATGAAAGGAGTGGGAAGTCTTCCATCTCAAGTGTGGTCTTCCATAAGCTACCCCCGAGCGAAACTCTGTACCTGGAGACGACCTACAGAATCAAGAAAGAGTCTATGCAGTATGCAAAGTTCTTCCCATGTACCAAAACACATACTAATCGGCTGTCCTAGCTCCTTCATGGATTTCCAAGTCTGGGATCTGCCCGGTCACCTGGACTACTTTGACCCGGCTTTTGACACAGACAATATCTTTGAAGAGATCGGAGCGTTGATCTGGGTGATTGATGCACAGGACGAATATCTTGACGCAATTCAGCGACTGAATATGACCATTCTGAATTTGCAACAATCATATCCAAACATCAATATCGAGGTTTTTGTCCACAAGGTGGACGGTCTGTCAGACGACTTCCGCGGCGACACGTTCCGAGACATCATCCAGCGCGTACAAGACGAGCTCAGCGACAATGGCTACGAACAAGCCCCGATCTCCTTCTACCAAACCAGCATATACGACCACTCCATCTTCGAAGCCTTCAGCAAAGTCATACAAAAGCTCATACCACAGCTTCCGACTTTGGAAGCTCTGCTGAATAACCTCTGCGGTGCCTGCAATATTGAGAAGGCGTATCTCTTTGATATCATGAGCAAGATCTACATTGCTACAGATACAAGTCCTACTGATATAGCCACATACGAAGTATGCTCGGACTACATTGACGTCGTCATCGACGTGAGCGAAATCTACGGATGGGATAGGCCTGAAGAAGCGCCCGACGAGAGCGAGACTGGCAATAACGACGCAGAGAGCTTGATCACCATGGAGAAGAAGGGCAGCAGATATCTCTATCTGCGCGAGATCAACAAGTAAGTCGAGTGTGCATCAATCAACCATGTGATTACTGACAACCCGCTAGATACCTCGCTCTTGTCTGCATCATGGGGCAAGAGCATCCAGCTGAGAAAAAAGCAATCATTGACTATAATGTGGGCGTTTTCCAGGCAGGCCTCAAACAGGTCTTCCCTAAGAGTGACCGGGAGGCTCAGATTGAGGTACGGGCCACCAATGATAGTTAGGAACCACCGCCGGTAGGGTCCCCGACTGCGGTACGGTCTCTGCGTTGTGTATCGATGCTGGATCAGGCCCAGAAGAGTGGAAAGCAGATGCCCGGGAATGAGTGAGGGTACTGCTTTCAAGTTCTGTATCATACGCCAAGCCAGAGTTGTGTTGTACACCATAAAGTGTTTAGCACACGCACAAACAATTATATGATGTGTTTCTCATCAAATACAACACAGTCGTTGCGATGTGTGTGTATCCAACTGCAACGTCGATCTCAACTGCGATCGGACGGAGCTAATTCCGTATAGCCGAACTCTAAATCCCATGACATCAGCCAATGAACCACAGCTCATAGGTAACCAATATCATCTCCGCTTTAACAGCTGCACGACGCTACCGTTGCGCCGTCTGGACACGTTGTCGCATTTGAGTGCAGTTCGGCCAGACTTTCCAAAGCCACCGCCGAACCTCCGAGGTCTGACGTCTCAAAATCAGGTTCTCAAATCTTGAGGTTGGGCGCAGAAGGTACGCGTGCGTGTTTGAGGATTGACACATGCCACGAGAACTAATGATAGTAACATAGTAGAAGCAATTATTACGAACCTGCGTTTTGTGAAACTGGCACACGACACTCTCGCGATCCGACCACCGCCTGCCAAACATCACCACACCACACACAATGTCCACACCAGCGCGGTACCGCAAGCCCAGCAACGGCAACATCTCCCAACCCCGTCGGCGAGCAAGAAAAAGCCGACCTCAAAGCCGCCGTGAAACAACAAGCCGCCAAAACCTCCTCCGGCTTCTCCGTCCTCGATGTCCTGCGCATACTCGGCGGGGTGCTGCTCCTCAGCTCCGGGCTGAGTTACCTGAGCACGAGCGGCGAGAGCATGACGTGGGGGTACAACGCGTGGTGGACGCGGGCAAGGGAGTGGAAGACTCTCATTGTAAGTCTTGCCTTCTCTATTCGCGATTGCACGTGAGGTATCAGAGCTGATCGGCCGTGGCAGCAACGTGAAGTCCGCCTAACCGATGCCCAACTCGCCGCCTACGACGGCTCCGACCCGTCGAAACCTATCTACATCGCCCTTAACGGCACCATCTACGACGTGTCCATCTCTCCGCAGACCTACGGGCCCGGCGGTTCGTACCACGTCTTCGCAGGCAAAGACGCCGCGCGCGCTTTCATCACCGGATGCTTCGCTGAAGACTCCGTGCCCGATCTGCGCGGCGCAGAGTGGACGTACATGCCCATCGACCCGGAGCTGAAGGACGACGCGACGCCCGAGGTCATCGAGAAGGCGAAGAGCAGGAAGCCGCTGACCCCCGGCGAGGAGAAGAATCGGCGCGCGCAGGAGTTGAGGCAGGCGAAGAAGCAGGTTGTCGCCGGGCTGGAGAATTGGCATAAACTATTTAGGGGCGATCGGGGGAAGCCATATAGGAAGGTCGGGGAGGTGGTTAGGCCGGAGGGCTGGCTGGAGAAGATGCCCGTGAGGAAGCTTTGTGACCAGGCACAAAAGAGTAGGCCGGTTAGGAAGTATGGCGAGTAGGTGGGGGCTCTGGAGGGTGTGTATATGTTGATAAAATATTATCATTTCTATCCTGTTGGTTTGACAGTGGAACGAATGCTGGCAATGTATTATTCAAACTATGATGCGCAGTGACCAGGGGGTAATGTCAGTCATCAACGATTGACTCCAGTATTTGCGGGATTGCTTGGCTTTGGATGCGACGACGAAATCAACATCAAGATTACTCTTAGCAGACGACTTGCAGTAGAACTCTGCAAACTCAGCGGTACAACGTCGTCAATAGATTGATCTTTGATCGACCCCTCGCGTCTCTCTCCGCACATGTCCCACCGTCATTGGTAGTATGAATTCACGCCATGAGACAGCGATATGTTCGGATATCTTTTTCATTCAATACATAACCGACACCTGGCCGCGGACTCGGTGCTTTAGCCGAGCCCGTCCTCTCAATTCATGTTCGCCATGAACGCATGCCCAATGTAGTATGACCCTTTCATATCATGAAGACGCCGATTGGTAGACGGGAAAGAGGAATGTCGTTGAAAAGCTGAAAGAAGCACCCGTGTCTCGCATCCACAATCGTTCACTTGTCCGAGGCGAGCCGCTTACTCTGTTGCGCCGACTGCTCGTGCTGTGTGGTTGTTAGCATCCGTTTCGAAAATGTGAACCTGGCAGTCCGTGTGTTCCCCAGGTCCACGATTATGGTATCACATACTGTAGATGCTCAACTTCGAGTGTCCCACGACCTTCTTGATCTGGCCGTTCTCCTCGAGGTCGGCAAGCGCTTTCCGTGCAAGCGAGCCGTTAATCTTCAAGCGATCGACGAGGGTGGCAACGGTGATGAGGCGGTAGGACTGGACATCCTTTTGGAGCTTGTCGTTGGTCTGCTTGTCGAGGACGACAGCGTGGTTGGCCTTGTCCTTGACTGTGTGGCTGTTAGTGGCGAAATTCGCGGAAAGTGTGCGGAGCGAGGCGGAGTGTTGCGAGTGTATCAAAAGTTGCCAGTGAGGCTGCCGGTATTTTGCCTCGTGTTTTGGGGATGTGCTGGATGTGTGCGGTGCGGTATCACGTACCCTTGCCCTTGGACCACTTCTTCTTCTGCTTCTTGCCTCCAGTTGCTGCAGGTGCCTAGATGTAATCAGCGACTGCTCTATTGTATCCAGAACACCATTTCTGCGTGGTGCGACGTACCATTTTGTCGGATGTGTGGTTGTGCTAAGGAGAGTTCCTGTCGCTGAAGAGTCGTAGGTCGAAATGGCCGTGGGAGTGGAGACAGCGGCTGACTAACAAGCGAGCGGACACACCACGTGACGCGCATACCCTTGCTAAGGCCAGTCTTACATCGCGCAACTTGCTACAGACGCATCCTACGAGTACATTCACGCCTCAGACATTGAATACAATTTCATAGCGGTTGTTTCACACGGGCTTTATGAAAGACGTGGTGCAACAACTCCACCATTCATCTCACGCATGCTTCACGTGTCCACGCAGCCACATTTACCTTCAGGAGGCATCAAAAGTAGTTTGACAGGTGACACCGAGGATGATGTACAACACCTTGAATTTATTTACTCTATGCTCAACACGTGCTCCCTCAGCCTGCCCCTACATACCCATAGAAATCATTCGAAGCACCCCACGCTTCCATCGAATTTCCACCTGACCGCGCCATGCGCGCCCTGCATGATGTATTGATTTCTCCGACAATCTTCGCGCCATAGCTGCAAGCCCCCATCGTATCGCTCCGATACCTACATATAGTTTATCGAAGATCTGCTCCAAGCGCAACGTTTCTCTGGTCCTGGACATAGACGTAGTCGATCACCACTAAGCGTAGCACACCCATCGCACACCCCCATCGTAAACAGCATTTCAAACGATTGGCCCCCTTCCCCCTTCATCCCAGCTCATATCTAGTAACTCCACCGTTACAGCAAATGCAAACCTCCATCCCACGCTTTAAAGCAAATCGCGGAGCTGATTTCCCAAAACCTCGTTTCGATATATCGCCCCCGTTGCCGCTAAAGCCACCCATGTCCGGCAAGCACCATCGACACATCGGTACTTGTGACTCGTCCACCTTTTACCCGATCGCATTCGGCTCCTGGAGGCCGGGTCGATGCTGGGGTACTTTTGAAGTTGCGAGGCAAGGCAGCTAATAGCCGTGATTTGGACGCGCGTTGGAAACGTCTCATGTAGTTTTATCCCTAGGCAGGGCGGGTGTGTTGTGTGAAAGCATGCAGGATTGTGCTGCGACAGGTGGGTGTAGGGTCCTACGTGTCTGATTGGTCAAGTGTGCAAGGTGGGAGTCTATCGAGATCATGAACACGAGCACATCATGATCAGGTGTTGGCGTGGAGGAAATTCGTGTCAAGAGCCACCAAACGTTTCTTTTTCCAATTACAATACTAATCGGGCACACTACAACTGCAAAACGCAAGGACCCTTAAGCCAGCCCAAGTTGACGTCCTTCTAAACTTCGCTAGACGTGTGGTTTTTCTCTACAGTAAATCGAGTCGCAGAGACAGACTGACTAATGACTAGGAAAGATTTGAGACGAGTTAAAAAAAACCAAAGACAAAATCCACGCCGGAAAATGGAAGAGAGCAAGGAGATCATCTCAAGACAAAAGGCGTTGCTTGAAGAAAGCAGCCCGTTCGAGTGAGAATACAAAAGCAAAGAGATGACTAGCTGGAGCTAGACCTCATTTTGCGTTTGGCTTGTCTTTTCACCATGCATGCAACTCCCTTCTTGCTTTGCCTGTCCGTCTCCAACAGTAAAGTCTTTATGTCACCACAAATGCTCGCTAAGATAGAAGAGACAAGTCCGTAGTACCCAGAACATGGAAGTGAGCTGACGGTCAACTCGTAAATGCTGTTGCCCCAGTGCGCAAGCGCAGACTTCAAAAGTTTTCGCCAAGACGCCATGTCCAAATGATGAATGCATAATCATTAGAAGAAATGGGTGTGAGGTTTGGAGAGCTCGTGGACCTCCATTTCCTAATCGACGAGTTAGCGAGGTTCATGTTATCGTGTTCGACGTCTCATACCATTTTGAAGGAATTGAGCTCTTCCTTGATTTGCTGTGCAAGCATAGGCGTGAGCCTATTGCAGGTTGCAATGTCTCCTCGGCGGTCATAGTCCTGAGGAGACCACGCATCGTGGAACTGGATACGCGGGCTGAAGGTGATGTTTCCTTTGCTACCTTGCGGAGTGCTTGGAAGACTTCTCGTGCTTCCATTCGGAATGCGAGGTCTCGCAAAGTAGTCCTCATTGCGAACGGAGCCCTTGTCGTTGGGCGTGCTCGGCGAATTCGACCTGAAGCTAGGAGCTTTGTCTGTTGGGCGTAGGACAGGGGATCCAGAGTCGGAACCGGTTCCGTTGCCTGCTTCGAGTCAGTATCTGTCTGGCGAGTTGGAAAAAGGCAACTTACGTTTTAGGATGCCCTTCTTGATATTCGATAGGACTTCCGCTCTTTCGCGATCACTGCCAACAATGCTCTTCCTCGTCAAGGAGTCGCTCGCGATGGAGGGGTTCACTATCTCAGCGCTTCGTCCAGCATCGATCGAGTTCCGCTCCAGTCTAGGGTAGCCGGTGCCACCACGAGCCTGGTCGTGAGGATCGGCGTTCACGTTGACCTTTTGTCTTTCAGCCTCAACTGTGACTAGTGAGACTTCTCCGACACTAGGTCTTGTGATGGGACCATCAGCAGCTGGCACACCGATAACCGACTTTGGCCTGAAGAGTCCCTTGATGGACCTGGAGCCTTTTTTCATGCCGTGGCCCATTTTTCGGAGCATTATCGATGCGGACGAGGCAGCCGAAGCAACAGACAAATTGTCGGTGGAGCCCATGCCTCCCTGACCAGAGTAGATACCAGCACCGATACCCGCAGCTTCCTGTTTAGCGATAATTGCTGCTTGTTCAGCATCCTCTTCATTTTGATATCTGTCCTTGCGAAGTTTCGCACGCTCCGCGGAAATGTTATTCTCCGCTGAAGCACGTCTAAGTTCGGCAGCGCTGCCAAATGAGAATGCACGACGTAGACGAGACTTCATGCCCTTATCCTTGTCATTGACAGCTGTGAGATGCTGGACAGCAGCGCTGGGCATGCCTTGTGGCCTAGCAGGGCTTGGTGGTTCGGATGGCGAGATGGGATGCGACAGTGGGGAGGGAGCATGTCGTCTCGCGGCTTCCGAGGCCTTTGGGGTGGCGCCACCTGCGACGGAAGCATATGTACGAGGTGCAGGTGCCTCTGTGCGGGTCTAAGAGCATATCAGCCTGGATGGACCCGGAGGTGTTAGAAGACTTACTTGTGAGCGTGAAGAAGCCTTCGAGGAGGCGCTGCCCGCACTGCCTTGTCTATCATGACTGTGGCTGGATGCAGGCCGGCTGCCCTGTCTTCCTGCGCTGGAGGCAGGTCTTGTCGGTTCCGCTGAGGCTGTGCTGACTGTTGTGCTCTCTGCAGTGGTGGAACCGACGTGCATCGAAGCCATGTTTGCAGCAATCGCGTTGCCATCGAGGCCATTGAAACTGCGTCTCCTGTACCTCTTTGCTGCATCTCCACCACCTGAGCGACCAAGCGAAGAATCATCGGCGCTGATAGTCCGGTTGTGTCCCGGCCGTGCAGGGCCAGTCAAGTCAGTGTCCAATGTGGGTAGGGCTGGCGAGGCTTGGGTGGGCGTGGTAGCCGACGAGCGCTGCGTTGGGGTAGATGCAGCGGTGGGTATGCTAGTCGAAGAGTCTGTTCTCCCAGCCCCGCGCCTATAGCGACCAGGCGAAGGCTTCGTTGGGGCATCGCCCACAGAGAACGACAGGTCAAGCACCGAGGTGGATAGCGTGATGGATGACGCCGCGCTGTCATTTGGTTTCCTGTTCTCCCCTTCCTTGACTACATGCGATGGGTTGGCCACGGAGCGGTTGGAGGAGCCCGAAGTCGAGACGGTCGAGTCGGATGAGGATGAGGGGTGGGAGGGGTGTCCCAGGCGCGCGTGGTTCACGTGGCTGGGTGCCTGCTGCGAGACCTGAGGTTGCGGTAACGAAACGGACCTGTTCTCCTGGCGCAGAGGAGGCGTGCTGGAGAAGGCGTATGGTGCTATTGGCGTAGTCGTAGGCGTACCTCTGTACCCCGTGCCACTGGAATGCCCATTATACGCCTGATTTCGTGGCATCTGCGAGCCGCGTTGTTGCTGGTGATGTGGCTGTGACGGCGCGTTTTGGTAGCCATCGGAGGGCGAATATGGCATTGTACTGGTTCCGGATGTCTGGACGATGGGCGCGAGTACCTGAGCCATCAGTACCCGTAAACGCTCCGGTGATGGGATGCTCGATCGAGATCGGCGTGGGCACGCGGCGGCAGGTGCGTGGAAAGTAGCACCAGGGTAAAAACCTGCAATTGCCACGAGTATTAGCAGAGCGCTGTGTGGCGGTGCGGGACGCGAGTGGGGTGATGAAATGTGGTGTGGAGTGTGTGGTGTGTGGTGTGGTGAGTGCGGGCTCAGTCGCTGAGAGACCAGGACAAGGAGCTCGACAACTAAAGGGAGCCGAGGACACCCCCTCTTTTCTTCTCGGGCGCTGTGCAAACGAAAAGAGTCAAGGAGCTGTACCTGATGCGAAACAAAAACAGAGAAACTATTAAAACACAGAATAGAATGCAAAGATGCCGGTCGGGGGGCTCTGGAGAGGCTGTCGTGAATCGACGGAGATGGCAGCGTGTACCAAGCCTCCTCGAGCAGGACAATTAAACCTGCATTGGACGATGTGTAGGTGGCGGCGACGGAACTGCGCTGGAGAGGACGAACGGTCAATCAACAAGCAGAAGGAAATAATAGAGGATGGAGGGTGAGGCGTCGGCGTTGGCGGGTGAAGAGTTGAAGTTGTGCTCAAGGGGTAAAGTCTGGTCTATGCGCTGCTGCACACGCTAATCTAGACATGGAGGATCAATAACTTACGCTCTGCTCACGCCAGTAGACTGCTGGGCACCGTGCTAGCTGGTCTCCGAGGCTGTCACGGGAGTCGACTTTCACGCTCTTCGAGGCTGCGAGCTGCGGCTAGGTAAGGTTGCGATGTCGTTTCTGGCACTGCAGTTGCTGTTCCCGCACTGTTATGCAAGCGTGGATGCAAAGAGGCCAGCTTACGTGCACAGCGCACTGGCGTTCATTCACTTCGGCCTACGACTGAGGGGAGCAAGGCTGTAGACGGTGGCACATCCGCAGTCGAGCCGATCGATGGTCGACGTCCTCCCGCCGGTGGCGTCTCCATGATTCCTCATGCTCTCAATCGCATCTGCGCGGCGAGTTCACGGCTTCACTGCCTGATCCCAGCCCGCACCCGGCCTATAGAGTGCTCGAGCGCATTTGATATAGCAATTGCTCGCGCCGCCCCTGCTGCTGTGCTGCAGCTCCATATTGCGGCCCGCCAAGTTTGACGTCCAACTGCTAACTGGGTACTTGTTGATCCTCCAGCATCAGAAGCAGGGCACTGTTGCCGTGCAAGGAGCATCGCGATGCATGGGTAGACGCACAACAGAGGTTCATGCTCCGTCACCGCCTAATCGCATTCTGCTCCATTCCACGCCCTGGTAGCTTCTGAGCAACGAGCACACAAACGCATGCTCGCCCATTCCAGGGTCCACCACACACAGCAACTCGTCACGGCTGCGGGCAATCTACCAACCTCTCGTCGTATTTCCCTATGCTGTGGAGAGGCCACACAGGCGTGGAATATCCTAGACGCGTTTAGCACGCCCAAATACGAACGCGCTTCTGGTAAGGACTTGCGTCGAGGGCAGACACTGTCCAACCACACGACGACGCCGCTCAACGAACCCACACCTGCGGCTGAGCCGTTTGCAGGAGATGGTGAAGAGCGGTGGATACACCGTCTCTGGTGCAGCAACCAAGATGCACTTCAGCGACGGATTTCGTGGCCTGCGCAGCGCCCAGCAGGGGTCCCCATCCCTGCTTGCATACGATAAGAGCACTGAGTGGTCATGCTCCATGGTGTTGAAAGCTCACCGACACGTTCCCCGCCTCTCCATGGAGCGTCCGCCTATCGCCACTGCGAATTGCGCGCTGCTTCCTCTGCTGCTTGGTTCAACTCTTTCCGGGTGTACCTCGCTTGCCGGGAACAGGCCGCGAAACAAGACTCTCGAGGACTTGCTGTTCGAAATTTTTCAACACATGTGCACCGTGGGCTGCAGGACCCCGTTGCTTTTTCCCGTTGTGCATGCATCACATCAACACTGCTACTTCTGGGCAGGGTCCGCGGCACGGGGTGCGGCCGACGATTCACCATTTGACAGGCGCGATTTACCACCAGACAAAATGTCGGAGATGGATTAATTGTGATTGCCAAGATGTGGAGAAGGGCGCGAGATGAGGTCTGTTTGATGTTCCCCTCCAGCGCACCATATCATTTCCTTTGATTGCAAGCAATCTTGGGCCATGTACACGGAGTTGATGCATTGGTGTTGCAACAAGCTGCAGACATGTCTTCCAGCAGTCGTTGGCCCGGCTCATGCTGGCGAAGACGACATCGCCCAGCATGTCTCCACCCTTTCGTAGACATGGGCTAGGATGACGCGAGTAACGCGGTGGAGCTCTGCTATTATGGGAAGGCGCTACCAATCACCAGCCGAGCTTGGATAGGCGCGGCGGAACGACGAAAATCTCCTTCCATTTCGGGCCCCCTGACCATTCACCGCCCGCGCCCACCTTGTTATGGGGCACGAGCACGGCTCATCAACAGATGCACGCTTCACTTTCGCCACTTCATCGACGGCGGCTTTCTGTTGTCGCACATCGACTCGTCCGCGGCGGAGACCACTTTTGGCCTCCGCAACCTCCGTCCTGTAGGATACCGAGTCTGCGATTTGAGTTCTCGCTTATCCGTCATTGTGGAACATGGCGCGACCAGATCTTCGTAACGAACCGTGGGTTTGGTCGCTGACAAGCCAACTCTACTCCTAGCAGCAGTTGTGCTATGGTCGAAAACATAACCTGAAACAGGCAGTAGAGGAGCATGGAGCCGGTGAAGAGATGGTTATCGTGGCAGCACACCCGCCCGTCAAACTAGATTGCCCGGGCTCCGGTGTGTACAAGAAACAGCCCATGGACCCTCAACAACCATTTCAGGGTTGCGACATCATGCCGCTGGTGTGTTGCTCACTGTGACACACAATAGAACAGCTTGCAGCCTCGAGGACAAGTGGTATCTCCTCTCGCCTAGGATGGAGACAGCAACCAAACCCTGATTGTCTTTGGGCTTCAAGCATGTGTAGTCTTCATACTCGACTTCATGCCGTCTACCACGCAAGGTTACGTACACCCAGCTCGAAAGGCTGCCTGCAGTGCAACCAGCCAGCGATTGCCGACAGCATCCGATTTATGCTAATAAGGACACTTCCGATTCAACTTTGTTACGGCGATGGGTCTACTTCGGCATCGAGAGGCGGTCAGCACATGTTCTTTGTCCAGCACGGCATGCGAGTCCCGAAAAGCAAAATTCGCGTCTCCTGCGTAAATGTCCTCAACAAGCCGCTCAACAAGCCTTTATTTCGACGGCTTTTCTCTTGCTGTACCAATCACAACTTGGAGATGCTGCCTTTGACCAAGCATCCGGATCCCGCATGCATCTTCTCAGCTTGTGGAGCCGGCTAGACTCTTCCAGCCACGTTAGTAACGTCATGCTAGGTATACGTAGGAGTACAGTAGGAGGAGTAGGACGCGGCTTCTGCTTTTTGATGCTCGCCCAATCATGTTTTGGCACGACTTTCGAAATCTCTCCTTGGCCTACGTTAATCAACGATCTTGGTTTTCCATCTGCAGGATCGGGAAACAGGTGCAAACAGTGAGCCGCAGGTCTAGATCCCCTCCATGCGCCGATCTCCTGTAACAACCGCCGGCAACGAGCTTCCATTTCGGCTGTGTCAATCACTTTAAGTGACTTGGCAACACGGAAGTGGCACTGCCATCAGGCGTTTGACGCTTCTCGCCGGTCGGCATCCCTTTGGTTAGTTGGCCATGTCAGGGGCAAGGTCATGAATATGAACCTTCTGCAAACACACTTTTGCAGACGTCGGCATTTGATCGCGGTAGGATTTGCTGGCTTCCCTTTGACTGTGGCACTCATTTTGCTCTTGTATCACACTAACGTCACTGCAACTACGCCAGCCAGCCGTTGCAGTAGGTAAACGTCACCCTGGACCCTCGTTTCACTGTTTCAGGCTGACTGTTTGCAATCCGATCGACCGCCAGTCGCAATTTCCCGAGCTTCCAGTGCCCCCGAACCGGCAGGCAGAGTATGACGCAACCGATTACCCGCGTGCCTTGCAAAATTCCAGACTTCTCCGCACTCGCGTGGTGCGTCGCCTCGATCAGCATCAGTGCAATCCCTCCCTTCCATGAACCGCAAACTTGGTTGTCATGTCGCTTCAAACCTGAAACACTGGTCAGGTACCGGTACCACGATTCTCGGGATCTACGAACTTTTATGTTCCCGGCGCAACGACATTTGCTGCAGGGATGTGCTTGAACACTGCGCCGAACTTTGTCATTCTTCTTTTGGGCTCATGATCATAAGCACTACGTAGCCCCTTCATCTGACTGGTCTTTATTGTAGAAGACGTCTGACTGTATTCGGACTGAGCATCGTGGGTAACTTGGAGAAAGATGGGCAATCAACTGACCAAGATCCGATAACTTTATGTTCTTGACATGGCAAGCCAACCTTGTAGACTATCAACTACTGCGAAACTAAGAAGTGGTAAACAGGGTGTATGATGGGTTCACCCACAACATGTGAAAGCAGCCAAGTGCCAAATCAGGCCACTGTCTTTCTGGACATCAACCAAAAACAACGACTTTCGGCCCTTCATCTCGGTGTGGTTATGAGATGTAAATGTCGATCTTTGGAATCATGCCACTTGCATCTCCAGAATCTAACATCTCCGACCCATTAATATAATCATTGTGTTTGATCACCATGACTCCCTGCCGACATTGCGATGTTCTATTCCGATGATTCTCGGTCTCAAAGATGTCCTAGCTAGCGCATCATGGTGTCATTACACCCAGCTGCGTCCACGTGACCTGCACATTTCAAAACTTCGCGTCACCACCACAAGCGCAAAATGATAGCAAAATGAATCAGTCCCAATACTAACACTGCAGACATTCTAATCGTCCGTTTGGGCATTGATAAATCGATGGTATCTCCCACCAAATTTCCCCACCTACCCCCCAAGGATAATTCATCGTCCCGATCAACCACAACACCACCAGACCACCCCAAAACAGCAAAAAGTAAACTTTGCATCGGCCGGGAATCGAACCCGGGGCTAGCCGAATTGATCTGATACAGATGGCAACGGCTAATTTTACCACTAAACCACCGATGCGGACTCAAGATGTGATAGTCTTGATTGATGGAGAGCAAGTATTTTGGTCAACTTATATTGTCAAATCTGAGCAGGATGAAGGAAGATACGATCATGTGAGAGATGGTAAAGCTGTGTATGGAGATCGACGGGGGGTGGTGGATCCGCAACGAGGGGAGTCTAGATTTTCGTGGTGTGGCCCCGCTATGTGGGGAGTACAAAACGACTGGGTTTGGTTGCATTGGAGTGCTACGGCCGAAGATCCCATAAACTTTGTAGTCTATAGAGATTAATTTGCTTAAGTTAAGAGCAATCATGTTTTAGCTTCGATGGAAGATTGCTATTCTGGTAAACTTGATACTTCTCTCGGTTGAAGCTATTCTTGAGAAGGTTCGTATCAGTCATCACAGATGTTCGCGCCAGTGAAAATTCCGTCGAGTTGAAGCTCTGCAACTTCCTAGAGCTTTTCGCTGCTTTATCCCTCTGGTACCGGGCATTTTTAAGAGTGTCGAAGCAGTCTTGCTGTATTAGTTCTATCAAGCGTGCCGCAATATTGCCGGTTCAGGGGCACCGAACTTTACCACACCACCCTGACACTGCGCTATGGTCGTCCATCTAGGAACCAGACTCACGATGCTCGAGAAGAAACGAATGCAACAGTGATGTTTTTCCGACAATTATGTAGAGCCGCGCGGCACGATTTGACTGTTGCTACGCGCCGCTTACGAACACCTCTCTGTTCTGCCATCAAGATCAATCTCACCCGTTGGCCACTTCAATCTTACTCAACGAGCGGAGATGGTAGAACGCCTCCCAACCAAAACGATATCCAAGACGATGAATTACGCAACATGGACATCGATGAGATAGAACGCGTCGAGAAGTATTGGTTCGGCGACCATGCTACCTGGAGTCACGAGCAGCTGCTAAGGCTCGTGGTCTGTGAGTTGCAATTGTGCAGTGATCCATAAAATCCACTAATGTCGTAGCTGTACCACTCATCCCACCACATGAGTTGAGCCGCTTTGCAAACTATGCTACTACTGGCCTTCTTCCAGATGGCACCAGAACATCTCCTCCTCCGATGACAATGGAAGAACTCGGTCTTCTTCATACCCCCTCCCACAGATGGGCTGAGGGCCCAACGAAGATCAAAGATACGTCGTGTCAAGATGCTCTCTCACCTCTATTTGGAGCTCCCTACAAGGGTACTGATCTCAGCGTCCCGCCGTATGCACAATTCCCGGCAAGACTGTTGCCGCTCCAAGCCAAGTTGTGGCAAGGCATGGCTCCGATGAATCGCAACCGCTGGCTGCAAAGACAGATGGGTGATCCGGCCAATTACCGAAATCTCATGGAGCTGATAAATGACATTCTGGCTATTTTCAAATGGTGGAATGAAGAATCGGTACAACATCGCATGCGTGCTGGGTTCAACTTCCTGGTCGACAAGCACGTTGAGTTCGCAGCACCTGTCAATGATCGTCGCGAGAAGAACGGAGTTCCGCAAAAACTCGATCTCGCAGCCATGTGGGCAGAGTACTTCTATGCCCGAATCTCAGCCATGTCGGAGCGGACGCATCAGTGGCTAGTAGACCGGGTCGACGAAGTGCAAAGCCGCGCATTTGCAGAGTACACTGTTACGCTCGAAAGCGCCGGTGACGATCAACAGGCTGTTGGGGCTGCAGGGAAAAAACTTTACGAGTGTGTGCAGGACCTCAACGCCATGATAACGAAGGTAGATTACACTCTGGGTATACCGATGACAGGCTTCAAGGGCCACAAGGCATCAAGCAACGCCTCTGTCCTATCTTTGGATATTCGTGACGACCTCTACCAGAAGCTAGCGGCCACAAAATCGTGGACGCACATGGAGAAAATGTTGAAAGCGCAGGATGCGGAAGCTGCAACCGAGCAAAAGCCACCGAAAGATATATCAGAGCTCGTTGCGCAAATGAAGAAAGGCCCTCAACCAGCAGCACCAAGATTTCAAGACCAGGAAACTCTGATCGCGCACTATCATGAAGGTCGTCGCAACCGCGCTGAGATTCGCAGCGCCCTTCGCGGTGCACCTGCACCCCCGGCTGATGAGCAATGGATCGCCATCCTAAAAGGACGCATGGACTTCTATATCGCAAACGGCCGTGATCCCAAAACCCATCAATGGGGTTTCGTCTGCTACCGCCTCACGTATAACCAGACTGACACTGAATGGGCAGATTTCATGGCCAAACTCCGCGCCGACATGGACAACTCCAGAAGTGGGGAGTGGATCCAAGGCTTCGACAGCATCGCAGATAGGGCTGGCCTCGAGATGTACGATGGCCGGGATTTGGGCATTGCAGAAGGAGATATCGAAGCCGCGAAAAAGCATTTCAAAGAGACGTATACCATGCTACCGACACTGGGCCGTATGTGGGCGCAAGACTTCCTCGTCATCGACGCACAGTCCTATTCATCCTACGCGCATCCGGAGCCAGAAATCGAGCGTCCGCCAGTACCCTTCGGGCCGTGTTTCGGCGACAAAGGAGGATTCGTGAGACTGGTGGATACAATCGAGTATCCGGCAGGCATGCTGGATGCGATGTCGCCAGGGTACCAGGGCGAGCTCAAGGTGCTGTCGAGCTTGGTGTTTACTGAGGTATACCCGCTGCTGGCGACGTTTGCGTTGAGGCCGACGAGCTTGTGGCCGCTGGCGAGGCTGCATCCGAGGGAGGTGTATGTAGGGAACACGATTGACTCGCAGGAGGCGTGGTGGGAATTTTGCCGGATTGATATGGTGGCGATGATGGATGGGATTTTTGCAGATTTGAGGAAGAAGAAGGCTGCTTTGCGAGAGAAATAGGGCTTCTTGGATATCAAGTGCCCTATCGTTCAACTATACTACTGGACGATGACAAGCATCCGCCAACCTTTGAGTGGCACGCACTCTGAAGTTTGTTCTCATTTAATCCCATGCAAATGCACCTGGTCGACGAAGATCTATACTAATAGATGCCCCAGTTGACACGCAAGGATGATAGGGGCTTGTGCTTGTCTCCCAGGATTGGAAGGCGCGCTCTGGACTGCAAACGGGTAAGAGAATGAAGCCTGGATTTTTCAGGTCAACGTCCAGGAGTTTGTCGATGGTGCCCTAGTTTGTGGGCCGAAGTCAATGTCTGCGTTGGGATTATCGGCGGAGCTACCACCGCCACCCGCAAACTGTCTTCTACCATTCCTCCAGGTAACGGCGCTCAGACTCCACAACACACTCAGTCAGGCATGGTGACCAGTTGGCGACCAAGTCATAAGCTAGGAGCATGTCAGCTTTGCAGACTTCTTGAAATGGAATACTAGCATTAGGAGTGACTGTACCGAGATGCAGGCAGGCGTACATGTATGCGTTGGACTGATTGGCGGGCCGCCTACTACAACCAAGCCAACGACAAAAGCTGTTGCGGACAATGGCATTCAGACACCTCAGCCTCCTCAGCCGGGGATGGTGACATGTTGCACGAAGTTTTATTATCCATGATGGAGTTAGCTGGAGCTAGATCATTAGTTACGAGAACATCGCCCTTGCCTACTTTGTCAAATGGAACCCTGGCGTTGGCCTAGATTGTATGACTATGTGGGTGGGCACTAATGCATGCATTGGTGTGTAAAGATGCTTCATGCCAAGTGGTAAAGAGCTTGACAAAGTTGACTTGGAAAGGCTCACTAAATAACCATACCTGAAGAAATGTAATGTTGATTCAAAAAATTGTTATATACCATTTATTACGACTACTCCCCCTAGCGCAGCACGGTCGTCGGCCTCTTTCCACCTGCGCGCCAAAGCGATACCTCTAATTGGTCATGATCATGGTGAAGAATGGGCACCCTATTGACACTAACAAACCACCTACTGATCTGCAAGCGCCCTATGTTCGCGTATGACACCAAGACTCGCTAAGCCTCCTACGATCTATCAACGATCATCCCCTTCCTCACACTCCCCAAAGAACCATCAACATGACTGCATTCAAAGCCCTCAATTTGGTCGGCTCGAATGGACGTTGTTATCGCCTCAAGAAGTTGATACAGGAACGACCTCACTTTGGCCGCGTTTGGTTAGCATCGTTCGATCCACCTCCCATGTTGTTCTATGATAAAATAATTAGTTCTTGTGTAGATCTGGAAAGGATCAATTCATATTGAAAGACATACCTCAAAGCATTTTCTCGGCCTTCAATGAGAACATTCGACCAAGACTTGCTCAAACTCCCCGTATACGACTTCCGTTGGACACCATCCCAAATCAGCGCATATTTGTATACGAATACATGGATGATGATTTCTTAAGTCTGGTTCGGAACGACATCCCATTACGAGCTCGAAAGGAAGTCCTCAGTGCTACTTTGCAAGGAATTGCAGATATGCACGATCGCGATGTTGTCCATTTAGGTGATTCCGAAGATTCAGTTATTTCCCTGGTTAATATGAATGACTGATCTCCAGCAGATGTCAAGCCTAATAACATCTTAGTCAATCACCGTCATATGGACCAAGAGGTCGTTATCGAAAAAGTACAAATTTCTGATCTTGAGAATGCAGCCTATCTCCCAAAGCCTAGGTGCATCAAAGGAATGCTAGCTGGAAATGATAACTGGCGCAGCCCTGAAGGTCATTTCAAGGGGGAACTGAACAAGCCATCCGACTTATACTCATTTGGGCTGGTAGTAAGTGCTTAGCATGAGCGAAGATTTCTCGTTGCTAACTAAACAAGTGCATCTACGCTATCCTCGGGCGTGTCATACTAGGGCCTGACGACGACTTCAAACTCCACGAGTCAAAAGGTGCGCTACCTGCGTTCATTCGCCTGCAGCGCCAAATATCGTATTTTGGAGACAAAGAAGGGTTGAATGGTCTCATGAAGCATGTTGGTGATGAGGAAACGAAGTGCGAGGTCCTTGGAATGCTCTGGGAGGAGCGGGCGGCAGACTGTATCCCATATGTGCCCTTCTCAGAATGGCCGGATGTTGACTCGACGTTCAAGGACTTGATCAGAGGATTGAACAATCTGGACCCGTCACAGAGGCTTACAGCTCGTCAGGCATTAGAACATCCATGGTTTAACGGAATCGAATCTACTTGACAGTAGCGTAACGGTATCCATGGAGAAGATAGTGCACAATTACAATCTTGGAGCAGATGCGCGGGAACCCAGATGTGAGGGGCTGATGGAAAGACCTTTCAGACACAACATGATGTGCGCACAACTGAAAACCTAATACGATTTTCAGTGGATTTCGGTCTATCGACTGCCTCATGTGTTTCTAAAACGTCTAATTATTTGAGACGCGGCTGGATAATCGTGCTCACCATTGTGGTTCCGCTGGAACCTGGAAAACAACAATTGTGAGCGCATCTTAAGCCCATGAAGCAGGGCATGTAAATCTGGAGAACGACAGAAGACGAGCGAATTGATCGTATTCGAGCCTAAACTGTTCTGCTTCCATCAGCACAAGCGACCGTGAGATATCGCTAGTACACCAGGCGATGAACTACACATCACCTTCCTCACCGCACCTCATCTTTATCTCCCTAACACCTCTCAGACTCCCATTTTCTGTACATGTCTCGATCAATCCCTCCACACACTTTCCACTGTATCACAAGCCCACAACCTCCGCCTCGCCTCCCAAACTCTCTACTCACGAGCAACGAACAAAACCTCCCTCTTCCTCCCATCCCACCCTACAGTCCCAAAATTTCACACCTCCTTACGCTTCTTCGCCCACAAATTCTTCACCATCCACCGTTCCCACCCGCTCAACCCCTCCGAAAACTCTCCCATCGTCCCATCATGATTACACAACATGGCAGGCAATTCTTCCGTCTTACTCATCCCGCCAAACACCTTCTCCATATGCGCCTTCATCATCGCATCTACATTCCCCGACCCACTCATCCTCCCCGATAGAGCAGTAAAATGCCACTGCAACCCCGGGATAAACTCATCCATGAAATCCCGACAAATCACGCCGCTGAAGTTATTCCTGCGGGCTGCGCAGCTCTCCAGCCACGCTCCCCACGCGCGCAACGGGGCGTCGAGTTCTGGCGTGACCTGTGTCTCGCCTGTTATGCGCGCGAGTTCGGGGGAGTCGTAGGCGGTTAGGCAGCGGTAGATGGTTAAGCAGTAGGTAGTGAAGTGGAAGGATGAGGAAAGCGGGATGGAGGGGGCTTGGATGTAGATGCTGTTGAGGGCGCGGATGATAGTATGTTGGTGACTGTCGGATAGGTCATTCGCGGTGTTGGTGGGGCTAGGGATGGGGAAGTGGTGCATTGGACCTGATTCCCAGGAGAAGGTGAGGGGCGGCATGTTCGCGTGTTGAAATGGGGAAGGGATGTATGATACGGGTATTTGACTTGATGTGATGGAAGTGGAAATACAATGCGACTGATGAGAAACAACAGAGAATCAAGGATACTGTAGCAACGATAAGACGACACGCATGTTTCCATTTGCCTTGGACTCGCCTTGCCTTTGTGCAGACATATCCTACCAGTTGCCAAGCTGTGTAGAATCATAAGTTGTAAGTTGTCCAGGGCAGCAACAATGGCCGTGAGCCATCACCTGTCCGGAATTACAAACCTCGCCACGACCATCAAAATCAGTATGACAGCTCAAGTATGGTGGCTTCATAGTGGCTGTTTCTGCAACATTAGAACAATGAGGGACGAAACATACAAGTGCGAGCGTAGCGAAAATCATTCCGAAGCTGGCCATTTTGGGCGACATCACTGATGTTCACTGTTCAGCGAGGTATTCTTTATCTACCCCTCTACATGGCTGTTCTCCACCACGCAATTCTTTTTTGCGCTCACTCACTCTACTTCTTCAACAGAGTCTCGAGCTCAGCAGCTATCGCATCACCGACCTCGGCCGTTTTCGATGTTCCTCCGATATCACCGGTTCGTACGCCCTTGTCGATGGTGATTTTTGTTGCCTCGTCAATCTTCAGCGCAAGCTCAGGCAGACACAGCGAGTACTTGAACATCATACTGATGGACAGGATGGTCGCGATGGGGTTCACGATGCCCTGGCCAGCAATATCGGGTGCGGAACCTGTCCTTGATCAGCAATTGCAGCCCCCAAGTGAACGTGCAGAACATACCGTGAATGGGCTCGTAGATGCCGTTCAACTTCGTCTTGCCATCTGGAATACCGCCCAAACTGGCACTTGGTAGCAGACCCAGACTTCCCGGGATAACACTAGCCTCATCACTGATAATGTCACCGAACAGATTACTTGTAACTACAACACCGTTCAGCGCTCTCGGGTTCTTGATCATAAGCATGGCCGCCGAATCAATCAGGTGGGTTCCAGACTTGAGGTGTGGGTACTCGTCCTTCATGATGCGCTCGAATGTCTTCCTCCATAACCTCGAAGTCGCAAGAACGTTTGCCTTGTCCAAACTCCAGACGGGAACCGGCGGGTTCTCAGCAGATGCGAGGCTACCCGCTAACCGCACAACGCGCTCAATCTCCTCGACGCTGTATGGCTCCGTGTCCATGGCCTTGCCGTCGCCCTCATCCTCTTTCCTCTCGCCAAAGTATATGCCTCCAGTGAGTTCGCGGATGATGTTGAAGTTTACGCCGCGGACGTTTTCGGCTTTGAGGGGTGATGAGTCGACGAGCGAGTCGGACGCGAAGAAGCATGGTCGTAGGTTTCCGAACGTTCCGAGCTCTTTGCGGAGCTTCAGGATACCTTGTTCAGGACGCACCTTTCCAGTTCCCCATTTCTATGACTATCGTCAGCATGAAAGTTTGTGTCAGTGGTGGTGTTGTCCTACTGGTCCGCCGACAGCACCGAGAATGATCGCATCGGCGCCTTTTGCTGCTGCGAGTGCTTCATCTGTGAGAGGATTGTTGTGCGCATCTATTGAGCACTGTGTGATGTCAGCGGGTGCTCAAACTGGCCGCAGATGTCAAAAACTTACACCTCCAAACAGGTGCTCTTGGAAGTTGAATGTGTTGTCTGTGTGCTTCTCGACAACCTTGAGGATCTTGAACGCCTCTGCGACGACCTGTGTTCCCTTGTAAGCTTACTGCATGCAAGTCGGGCGCAGCTGTTGTACCTCAGGGCCGACACCGTCACCTAGCTGCAATTAGCCCATTGCTCACGTTCTGTTCAGGAAACAGCTTACCAGCGAGAACAACAATGTTATGGGAAGGCATTGCTACAGTACAGGAATCGTGAAGAGAGGAATGACCAGTGTTTTGGAGCTCAATTGTTCACAAGCAATCTTGCGAAGCTACCCCACGATGACATTTGAACCCCGCCGAAAGCCGCAATTCGCTCCGACTTCGGGCGCCTTGAGCCGAGCAACCACCGAATCATCTATCACCCTAACTACACTTCCGTTTGCTTTACAGGCGTACGTGAGACACACTTTGGCTGTTTTGAAAAAAATGGTGTCTTACAGCGCTCCTCGGATTGCTCATAGTGCCGTCGCCGATGCCGCGTATGATGTCATTGCGATCCATTCGCTCGACTTCCAATATAAACATCCAGGGGCCTTCCTCCTAACGACCGCCCGTTCTATATTACTTTCTCGGACCTATCGGCTTGTCTTTACGCTGACAATATGCTCAACAGCATCTACCGCGGTCCTCGACGTGTACTCCAACTGCTCGGCGAGCGACTTATGGAGGTAATCTCGGGATAGATGTCTAGCACGAATTTCTTTTCAGATCACAGGTATGATTCCCGACGTGGCCGACGTGGGACCAGTCTTTCGAAATGCCCGTAAATCCGTCATACTCTTAAAGTACATTTCAAAGCTGTTTTGTTGAAAATCGCGCTACCTCAAGACCCCGAAGAATCCATAGTTGATACATCATGTCCCTTGAATCCACCACTCTTAGCAGGCTTTTCCTTCTTCTCGATCTTATCCACTTTCTTCTCCGGTCTCCTTTGTTTCCACGCCTGTCGTTTTTGTTGCCATCCTCCAGACGTCAGTTCTTCCTGACTTGAAGTCGTTGTTGTTTGCGTCTGCCGAGGGTCCACATGCTGAGCATGTCCTCGCTCGTCGGCGTCGCCGGGCTCCATCCGCTCGAGTTGCGCCCCTGGATTGCTATGCTTCGGTTCGCTATCGTGTCCTGAGCTTCGTAGCTCTCGCGCTCTTCGGTGGATTCGTCGGTAGAGATGGCGTGTGGTGGGTAGAATACTGGCGATCATGTAGATGGAGGGTTCGACGAGGGCGTAGATCATGGGCCCACCGGAGGCGTACCATGTTGCGTCTGAGAAGAGAGGGGTCGTAAAGAAGACACTGAAGCGGAGGGCACAGGTAATGATACCCCTGTATGTTGTCAATCTCATTCCTCTTCCTTAGAGAAGATCTGCGTTTCTTACATTGAAGCAGCCAGAAAGGTAAGGAAAAGACCAATCTTCTCCGACAGAGGCATTCGAAGTTTGATCAGAAGCGGCCACGGGAGTATCAGCATCATCACGTCCGTGACCAGACTCGGAATGCTGTAGCTCTTGTAGAAGAGCATTACATCTCCACAAGTTCCATCGCCTGGATCTACTGCCTGCGTCCAAAAGTATCGGAATGGTCTACAAATCGAGAATGCCAAGATGAAGGATATTACGCCTTGAAGGATGATGATCACGCCGATGCCAATGATGGCGCGACGGTAGCTTGTGACCTCAAAGACTTGGTAGTAGAGGAAGAGAGCGGCAAGTTTGGCGAACATAACTGCTGGTGTGTAGGTAAATTCGAGGACCTTGGACAACTTCAGCCATGTTTGGAATGTTGTTACTGGCACAGCCGCGACATGGTATCCTACGCCACCGATTTGGGTCATTACTATCATATGTCAGTGTCAGTGTTCACTGTTGACTATTCGATGGTTTCCATCTCGATGGAAGTCATTGCAGTTTGTGCCTGCTCACAACCCATTTCTTTGCATTCTTTGATCATTTACGTCGTCGCTATTCCTCACAAATTTGTAATTCACACGATAGGACAAGTTGAGATATACTTACAAATCCCCGTCACAGCGCTCCCCAGACATAACACATAGCACAGTGTGTTACACACCAGCATCGGCAGCCCCACCGCCTTGGGGTTGTAGTACCGACTCACATAGAACACCGCCAGAAAAAATGTATCAATTACGATAAACGCAATGCTGACTCGCTGGTCCAGGCCTGGATCATTCGTCTCGGCTAGGAACTCTGGCGAAGGCGACCCCGCTGCCATCGTGGGCGTAAGAGGCGTTCAGGCGTTCGGGAGGCGGCTCATGCACGGCGGAACGGAGTTCGTGCAAGTGGGGCGTGGGACAGGCGTCTTATGTTGTGTACATTGGACGAAGGAAGTGCGCACCGTGCGACAAAAGTCCGCGCGATGAAGTGCGACTGTCTATTCGAATAACAATGCGACTGTTCTGCGCTGTTGCGGCGCAGCTACGGTCCCCGGGGCTAGGATGCGACAAGTTGCGGCCACTTTTGCGGCAAGTCCCTCGCGAAGCTCGCGAAGCTTGATTTTACTTTTGGCAGTGATCCGCGTGGGTGCGTCGAATCGGCGCATCGAGTGACATTTTGACACAAGCACGCGCCAGGTCTAAGGAGGGGCGGCCAAAATAGTACGATGATGTGCTGACACCACGGGATGAAGCAATTGTGCCTTTGATTGTCTATTGCGTGGTGGTTAGTGCTTCTCCAACCACTGGTTCACTCGATCTGCGATCTCGAGGTTGTTCTTTTCCATGAAGAACATGTGGCCGTTGCCATGGATGCCTTCCTTGCCCAGATCCGCATACTCTACATCTACGCCAACTTGCTCCAGATACTTGACAGTGCAGTAGTCATATGGCGCATGGAACGATGCTTCGCCAGTCACTACAAGTTCTGGGATCTTAGCCAAATTCGTTAACTGCTTTGCTGGGGCCTTTTGCATAATGCAGTCGTTGTGATCACCGTCGATTGCAGGCTCAATGGCCGTCTCAATGTCTTCGGCGTTCTTGCCTGCTGACGGGTTATAGCCGATGGCCAGGTCCGTGAGGCCGAAAGCGAACGCAGGATCACTTCCGAACGGCGGGCGAAGCGTGAACGGAGGCCCTGAAGGCTCGAGTTGAACAATACCCTTGACAAGGTCGGGTCGCATATCTCCGACTCTCCAGCCTGTTTCGCGTCAACAAAACCACCAAGATATAACACTTTCGGAGGGACATACCATATGCACCAGCCTGTGAGTGGCTGATTATATAACACGCGCCTACAATGTCTACAAGCGCTGAATATGCCTGCGCATTCTGTTCCTCGCCAATGAAGCGATCTGTCTGAAGCTGCACCTGGCTTCTATAAAAAGCGTCGAAGGTTGGATCACCCATGCGACCGGTACCGGGCCATTGTGTATGAAGCTTTGCCTGCGGCCATCGGTTTCCATTATTCGCCACGTCGGTGAAGATATCAGACACGGAGCTGGGAGGGCCAATAGACCCAAGATTTCCTTGCCCAGGGAACCAGAATGAGCGACCACGAGCCGGCTGGTCTGAGAGGTAGACGGTATGACCTTTGGAGATGAAGTATGATGCCCATCCAGGCCGTCCATCAGGAGTCTCAAGGAAATTGGTGCCAGTTTGTGCCGCGCCTGCAATGAAGATAATGGGAAGTGGTGGACTCGCTGGGGCCGGGTGAGGAGAGAGCTTCTCGACGTAAATCTGCCCTATCATAGCTAGAGACGTGGAGTTGGTTGTAGTACCCTATTTTCCGTGCTTAGAAATATTCCAAGCTCTTGGTAATTCAGGACTTGCAGTGATGTTGGTGTATTGTCCGCCCACGTACAGAACCTCACGCTTCGGGACGATTTCAAGGAGCTGGGACCCATTGGTCTGCGCATTGCCTCCTAGAAAGGCGACTTGCGCTAAATATGTGACAGAGGCGAAGGTACGAATGTTCACCATATTGAACAAATCCTGAAAATACTGCAAAGACCCCGAGAGGGAGACGTTTGCAGGTAAATAAGAGAACTCCAGCTTGATGTCGGGAAACATGAACCGGGGAAGGAAGAAATCCGCACTTGTGGTTAGTGCATGCCGTCAATGGCGGCAGAGGGCTCGTGTCAGGATCTAATGCTATCGCGGGATGTCGACGCTCTGCGTAGGTAGTCACTGTGCGAGGCGAGGGCCTTACCTCCAATGGCTTATAGCGTTTCCACCAGGCATTTGAGCCGTTCCGAGATGGGCCTAGCGGTGGTCACGCATCACGTGATGTGCTCGCCCAAGCAGGCCTCTCATTGCATACGCTGGCAAGAGACAGACGTAAGAATTGAATAAGCAACCAATCTCGTTACGTGGAGATTCTATCAGAATGGGTTTCCAGGCATAGTGAGCTGCCTCGAGCAGATGTCGCGTCCATTACAGCACACGTGCAGGTTCGCGCAACAAAATAATGACCTGAGAACAGTCTGCAGCTACATTGATGCCATGTATGCAACGGCAAACAGCTATTCATATCTCGCCAGGTCATACAGTACGTAAGCTTCAAGAGCATGTGCAGCGATAATCAACCACCGGTCTTTTGTCGCATGCAGGGGCTGAACACAAAGGCGGGCACAACGCAGGGTATGCGGCTGAAAGCGTGATGCTGTCAGGCTCAAAAACGTCTCTTGCGAATGTCAGATTGTCACCTGCTGCTCGCTCTGGCCTTGATGCCGTTCAGGGCTAAACGCTGGGCAACATTTGTGGTAGCCATTTCATCCTTGTATCTTCCACAAAACGTCGCTGGGAATTGTCCGAGCATGGTTGCGGGAACTGGATCCTAGTAATCCAAAGTGGAGACATGATGCCGTTCATCCGCTGACTGGCTTGTTTGACATTACAAGGGCGCAACGCAGATGTTTCGTCTTCTTATAATTCCAACCTGTCAGACGAACATCATGATAAAGGGTTAGTGAGACCTCAGGTTTTGTTGGTTTATGCAAGGAGTGATGGCCGGGATGCATCTGCTTGTCACAGCTCCAAAGAGGCATCTGTGCACATATAACTTCCCAATCGATAGAGCGGGTGTTGGCGTTGGTGAAACAGTAGGACAGGCTTGGGCGGTTGTAGAAGCCTCGCCGCCTTGGCAGTGCGACGACGTGCTTCAACGTGACTCTGAGTTTGGCCCGGGAAGGCCGTGGCTGGCTGGTGAGACCTTGGAGGAAAACTTGATAGTGGAGCCAGACTCGGAGTTGTCGCTGTTTCTGAGCAGCCAGGTCCGATAGGTGCTGAACACCAGGATACAATCAACGGCGAGAACGTTGAAAACAGACAGTGTCTGCGCACCGCATGGAGGGACGAGCTCCGATCCGCGTCCTGTTAGAGGCCTCAGGGCGTCCGTTATGGGCAAAGTAAAACTGTCTTGCACATGTACATGCCGGTCCAAACAGAGAGACCGACCCTGGAGTTCAAGCTGAAGCATGAAGAAGAGCCAAGGCAGACGATCGCGTCATATGAACTCTGAAAAGTCAAGCAAACTACGAGCGTCTAGACTGTGTTTCCAAACGAAGCTGCTCATGATCTGCTGCGCCGGTTGCGTTGGTCATAAGGTAAGTTGTATCGCGGCATGCCAACTGATGCAGTTGCGCCCATGTCTTGCTGATCATTGGTGAATCGATCAAACAGAGGCCATGGATAGAAAGGACAAATCTTACTTGAGATAGAGTACCTAGGTATGCACGTCATACGCGCTATGCAGCCACGGTATGCCGTCAGATTGTAAAGAAGTAAGACAGTGGCAAGCCTGTGGATCTGAAGGAATAGACTAAAAGCATACATTCGCGAGTCTGATTGATCGGACTTAGACCGGGCGTTTGATTACAGTCGCAGCCCGAAAACCTTGGGGCTGTGGTGAAGCTGAATACCTCAGGAGAGATGCTGGGCTCACGCACGTGGCTTATCGATATCTCTCCATCGGCACCGTTGCCGATGGAAGTCCCTGTCAAAGTAGAGGCGAGACCCCCTTGAGAAAAGATTTTCATTACTATGCATGTCTGCTCCGAAGATCAAACAAGCGACAATTCTTGTCTCGTTGATCTACTCATGGTATGCGAGGAGAGACAGGAGGCGTGAGTCGCTCTCGCTTGCGGATCCCCGCCCTGTCGCTTCCAAAGCGCTCGGCTATACCGCATCAAGACGAGCGTGAAACACATTCTGGACCTCGCCAGGCCATACACCTGCAAAACTCACCTTGATCTCGGACGAAGGTTCATTCGACGCGCCACAAGCTCCCGCGGCTCGCCGTTTCGAAACAGTGAGAAAAGGCCGTGTCTGCAGGTACGCGAGCACGCCTTGCTGAATTGGCCAACGCGTCAGTCAAGGACCACCTAATATGATCCACCAGCTGGGGAACCCAAACCAACATGCGGGTCACACAACGGCCGCAGGCGCTGGATCTGAATGTCCTGTCGCGGAAAGGTAGATGAGCGCGTCACGTTCCCTCGGTTTTGCCGCCAGGAGCTGCCTTTAAAAGCAGGATGCCGCTCTTTTGGACAGTCGGCATCACTTTTTGTGACACAACCCCTCGTGACAAGCAAGCCTTCGTCGACATTCTTTCTACATCCATTCCTTTGTGTCCGTAAACGCAGGGTCGTTTCTCTTCTTTCAGCCCCTTGTTACCTTTCGAGTTGAGCTCACAACGTCATTACCAAAGTGAAAATCACTGTGTGAAATCTTCCACAACAAGGTTGACTACATAAGACTGAACTACTCTCCACCCGATATCCTAACACTCATTTGTCAACAAAAATTACAATCGTTACGAACTACTCACGAAAACACGATGCTCACAAACACTCTTTCTTTGCTCGCCCTGGTTGGCGCAGCTCAAGCCCATATGAGCATGTTTTACCCTGCACCTCTAGGTGGCGCTCCATCTATCAACAAACAGTCGGCCGAAGTCGACCCAGAGTTCAATTTCCCACTTGGATGCTGTGGTCCTGACGGTGGTGACTCCAGACCTAGCCCTGGTGTCTGCCGTGGTCACATCGACAAGTTCGATACCGAAACAGCCTCAGTAACCTGGACGGCCGGGCAAGAAGCCCATTTCCAACTCACAGATCACTCATATGACCCGGCGGCACCCGGCGGCACTCACTATGGAGGTTCTTGCCAAGTTGGGTTCTCTGTCGACAAGGGCGCTACATGGAAGGTTGCCGCTTCTTATCATGGTGCTTGTCCCAAGCATACTGAAGACGGTTCGCCCGAAGCCCAGACCTTTGATTTCAAGGTGCCTACGGGTATGCCAGAGGGAGACGCTTTATTCGCTTGGGTATGGCTGGTAAGTGAAGGTACTCAACTGAAGCTAAATATATACTGACTGAAGCCAGAATCGTGAGCATGAAGCATTCTCGAATTGTGCTAAAGTCAACATCGCCAGCGGCTCAGGAAGCCCACCATCTGAGCCTGCCGCACCATCCAAGCCGGCAACATCTCCACAACCACCATCTCAGTCATACGGCGCTCAGCCCCAACAGCCGGACAACGATGACAAGCCTGCACCGCCAGCAGTCACTCCTCAACCATCACCCGATCAGCCTGGAAACGGTGCTGCCACTACCATCTACAAGACCGTTACGACCACAGTCGGTGCTGGCCCTGCTCCTTCAGTCAACCCTGACGATGACTACGAGGATTCTGAAGATTCTGAAGACTCCGAAGACTCCGAGCATGGAGATGACTCTGAAGAGATCGACGATTCCGAGGAGCCCGATGATTCTGAGGAGACCGAGGACTCTGAAGATTCCGAGGATTCTGAGGGATACAAGCCCCGGCGTCACACGCATCCCCACCGCCAGGTCAACCCCAATGCTCGTAGGTACGCAGTTGAAGGATGGAGCTGTGAGTGCGTCCGCGAACCCTCCAACTCGCGCTGCTACTGCGACTCTTCCAACTTTTCTCCTGTTAAGCGTGCCGAGGTCGAGAAGAAGGCTCTCCGTATGCACCGCCGCACCCTTTACAAGCGCATTGATGCTTGCGACTGGGCTTCCGCTCCTGCCATGGAGACATCGTACTACACCATAGACGCCAAATGTGCGCCCAACGCCAAGGCCAACACGCCCGAGAGCGATGAGTTCGAGCTCGGCTGGGATGTCAGCTGCGGTGTTGTCCAAGGCGATGGAGAATACAAGATCAAGATGATGGAGTGCAACATGTTTGGTGGTGGATACTAAACATGTAGTGTGCATGGTTCGTCTTACCTTCTTGTCATATACCCTTTGGGCATTTTCACCTTCTTTACTTTCGTTATGGGCTCAGCCCCCCTTTATGATTTCATTTCTTGGAGATCCTGTTGATGCGTATCGCGTCCGGGTATCTGCGGCTTGCTGTTAGAGCGTCGCGTTGTATAGTGGTTGGGGCATCTAGGTACCTCGCTACTTCATGTTTTATGCATAAGTATCTTATGACTAGTTTGGGCATTGGAAAAGGAAAAGATTGTTGACAAGGTTGGGTGGTGACTCGGCAACAATTGAACAATTTTACTTCTCACACAATTTTGCAAATTGGATATAAAAGCGCCATCAAACGAAGTGAAGTATTCAACATAATAGGAGCTATTTATTCTTTCTCTTACCTAGTATGCAAGGACTGCCAATATCTACAGCTGCAATCCTCTTTTGAACGTAGTCTAGCAATATGATGCCATACAGTATACTTCGTTCGAGAGTTACGGCACACAGAGCAGAATGACAGAATTCTACAGGATGAGAGCGAGGTGAGAGTCGCAATGGTTTGCGGCAGACGGCATCGTAGGCATTTCGGAACCCTGTGCGGGCAAGCACAACGTACCTTCCGCACCTTCACCTCCGTTTGCCCGCCCCACTTTCCCCCACCATTCTAGATCTTACTGCCCACTGGCAGTTACAATCAACCAGCCGCGCTGCGAAATCTCATCTTGACCTTTGAGCCAGCTCGCGGCCTTCTCCTTTCCCACATCGTACGATCATTCCGAATGCGGTCGACTCACCAATCCTGGCAGAGATAGGTGTAGCCACTTATCCTACACGCGATTGCTCGAGTCAGATAATCGCCATCCATGGCTCTCCCAGACATCGCTCCAGGCGCCCCCACTAACTCGACACCGGCTACAATGCGCTCACCCTTTCCACTTTCACCCGAGCTGGTTCATAAAATCTGCAGCAACCTCCGCACTAGTCAAGTTGCCCAGCTCCGGCTCGTATGTCGTCTCTTCGCGGAGATTGGCAAAGAACATCTCGTGGAAGAATTGTGCTTCTTCACATATCCGCGGAGCATAGAGAAGGTTATCGAGATATCCAGGTCTGAGGAGTGGGCGCCCAAAGTCAAGACACTTGTATTCGAAAATGTTGCACTCAAAGACTGGCGTGGTTTCCCTTGGGATGATGACTTCTTCGATACACGGAGAGGCGCAAGAAATGGGCTGTCAAGTTACACGCAGCGCGATTTCGCTACCATAAAGCAAGCTGTCGGTCAAATACTATTCTCTGGTCTTGAAGAGAGTGCGATCTTCAGTTTCCGCAACTTGAGGGCCGTTCATTCCCATGAGGGCTTCTCAGATGAACGTCCATACGGACGGGGTATCAACATGAGACTTGTGGACATGCTTACCTATGGCAAGCATTCGAAAAGTCTAGCCGATCTCATATGGGAAGATCGCGCTTCCCTTCGCATCTTTCAGGAGCCGATGTCGTGCGAGTCTACGGAAGCAGAATACGGCTGCTACTTGAAAAAATCTTGGAACTCTCTGGAACTTTTGTCTGAAGGCAGCTGCATACCAAGTGGGTTTAAAAGATCTGGAGACCCCGAAGCGGAGGTTCAAAGGAATCTCAGTTGCAGGAACAAGACCAACGAGCCTGACACTCCCGAGTCCGCGTCAGTACCTAGCTTTTGGGGGTGGCTTGACGCACCTTGAGCTGTATTACGACCCATCAGCAGATTCCGTTGATCGTGACGAGAGGTTCGACTGGGACATAAGGTTACTCTCGCAATCACAGGTCGATTTCGTGAACCTTCAGACGTTGTCTTTGTCCAATGGACGGGTCACCGAACGACTTGGTGGGCTGGACATATCTCCACTTGGCTGGCATAACTTGTCACTCCCGAAACTTGACTATCTGAGCCTATGTGGCTGTCTCTTCTCGACCGATATCCTTACACTAGACGGATACGTTGCAACTTGGCTCAGCAAACAAGAGGTGCACCTCAGCTTGCGGGATTTTGGAGCAACAGTAGCCGGCCTGGAAGCTTTTCAGAATGGATCCCCCCTTGAATCGGTCTCTATATCGGATTCCTTCGATCTCACTTTATCCATAGGACTGGAGTGGGCCCCCACAACGGAAGTACGACACTGCGGAAGCCAGTCAACAACCTGGTCCTGGAAATCGCCTAGGTACTTTGTGACAGATGACAATATTGAGGTTGGGACGATCGAGGAGTTTCTGTTATATGTAGGGTGCAATGCGGAAACATTTGGATACAAAAGAACTCCATGCGACAAGGAGCCATCTTGAAGCCGAGCTGGGTAGCCTGATGTTCCCTATATCATTCGGGCGAGGAAGAATTGATGTGCAGCGTGTGCAGTGAAAGATGAAGTTTGGCTGGCGAAATCAATTGGACTCGTGGAGCAATGGACGCAGTCGTCGCGAGGAAGAAGAATGAGAAACATATGGAGGAAGTTACAGCCCGGACCAAGCCTCGAATGTGAGTATGTGAACAGTCATTTAGTGGGTCAGCAGTTCCAATCTGTACTCAATGAAATGCCGACTCAGAAACACTTAGACCAACAGATACTGACCAAAAGTTGCGCAAGTCTACACCAACGTGATAGTATACAGCTCTGCATGATCTGGCTTACTGCATGCGCTGTCGGGTATCATGCCATCTCCAAAAGGCTTGCAGAGTAGGTCGCGAGCATATTTCGTACAAACAACATTTGGCAAGTTATCAGTGAACCTCTAAGCAACGCTCCAGCTGTCAGGTCTTGGCCCGAAACGCACGTAGCCTTTGCGCCAAAAATAGTCAAGTTGGTCGGTTCCCTCGAGAATCAGACATCCACAGCTCTGCCATAGAGAATAGATGCGAGCGTTACCACATAGATCCATGCCGGTGCAGCCTCAGATCACCTGCTCAGGAATAGCAATAGAGATAGCGGGTCTGCATCGATGATGTTGCTGTGGTGGGATACTCAACCGTCATAGAGCGAAAAGTGATCTTGACTATAAAACCTGATGCAAATCAAATAGGTAGGGAGCGAGGTGGGAAGAAGGCTATGTAAGATGACAACACGATGTCGATGTGTAATAAGAAGTGGTGATGGGATCGTGGTGTTTAGTTTCAGCCCCTGATGTCATCAGGCTAAACCTCAAGCAGGCTTGCCGTCTTCGAATTGGAGGACGGCGGCACACCTCAAGGGCTCCACCAACCCCTCATGTAACCCGCAACAGGCTTTTGTTCTGGTGAACCCGCACCGACATGCGCCCGTAGGTGTTCTATGACCACCATGCGTCCCCCTAACATCGACACACTCTTCCCTCAATCGCAACCGCTCAGCTGGCTCGCGCCATAGTCTCGCGACCACTAGCGACACATTCAACGGAACACATCACACAATTCCACCTGTGCATCACAAGATTGCGATCGCGATCGCGTAACCAGACGAAATGGCTCTACAATACTTGTCAGACAGGAATGGATGGCTTTCTTTCAAGCACAGCACACCGGTGCTATACATCACGTCTGAAGAGGAGGAGTTCGATATTGAAACTATGCGCGCATGGAGAGACGAGGGCTTCATTGTGAAGTACGTCCCTATGGGCAAAGGGGGAAAGCAATATGTGCAGACTCTGTACAAATTGGGTGATAATATGGGCATTGGAGAGCGATACGCGATCGTAGGTACATAACCCTCTCATATTTGAGCGCAAGTTACGTCTCTTAGTATGACGCGTTGGACAAAGCTGCAGCACGAACCAGCTAACGTCTTCTAGCATTCGGAGATGCTGCAGCAGTGTGTCTAGATGTCTTCTCGGAGCCTAAGACCGCAACGTCCAAGCTCTGTTCCCTGATCGCATACTACCCAACCTCGATTCCCGACACGCGACACCGCTTTACATCCTCTTTCAGAGTCCTGGTACATCTGGCGCAAGGGGTTCCAGGCAGCGAAGAGACTGTTGGCGTCACGCGACGCCCGGAAGTCTTAGGCATCCAGGGAAAGCGGAAAACAGTCCAGAAGCGCGTAACTCCAGGCATTGGAGCGGGCAGTCAGCAGACGGGCGTCACATATCCAATCTTCACGTACGAAGGCGTAGATCCCGGCTTTGCCGAACACGACCTGGACGAGTACGATGCGGTCGCAGACGCAATTGCATGGAGCCGAAGCCTAGACATGGTCAGGAAAGGATTCGGTGCCGAAGTCAATCTAGAGAAAGTCTGGGACGAGAATGAAGAGCGTGCGCACAATCTACATAATCATAACACTTGGACATGTGCTAACACAAGGCAGAAAAATACCGCGGCAAGAGCGTCGACAAACTCCTCGAGACCTTCACAAAAGAACCCACACCCTTCACAAACTTCACACCCACAATGACAGGTGGTCATGGCCACCAGGAGCTTCGCCGATTTTATCGTGATTTCTTCCTTAAGGAAGCGCCGCCCTCGCTGCACATGCGCCTGATATCGCGAACCATTGGTGTGGACAAAATCGTCGACGAATTATACATTCAGTTTAAACACACATGTCTGATGAACTGGATATTACCCGGCGTTGAGCCAACAAACCAGAAAGTCGAGATCGTGGTCATCAGCATTGTGGCATTCAGAGCTGGCAAAGTGTGGTCGGAGAGAATGTATTGGGATCAGGCAAGTGTATTGTTTCAGGTGGGATTGCTGGACCCGGATGAGGTGCCAGAGGACGCTAAGAAGAAGGGGCTGGAGATGCTACCGATTAGTGGCAGCGAGGCAGCGCGGAAAGTCATGGACGTCGAATCAGAAGACGCGAATGACATGATAGAGGATTGGTGATGCAGTGGCATATGGTCATGTTACGCCTTGCTTCAATCAACCTCACTTCTCAAAGAACACCGTGCTGTATTGCGAGAATAATTAGATGGCATGTAGATCTTTCAGTCACTTCAACACTTGTTTAATAATTCATCACTCGAAGAAGACGATCTTGCTGTTAGACGTAAACGTTGTGATTACTTCAGTTCTACATATTATTGATATGCTCGCGACCTAGAGCCTTCTACGAAGTTCTCGATAGTCTGCATTATCGAAGATGAAAACGACATCATGCCATGAACCCCTCCTTCATATATCTACTACTCTTCACAGTATCATTAAATACACAATTCTCTCGCCCCTACTCCCAGTGGTCAAACCGGAGCGACTCGAGCATCATGTCCAAATCCCGTATAACAGAGCGCCCATCATCCCAATGAGTCTCTATACGCACAACAGTGTCACCAATGGCATGACCACCCGAATGGTGATCACAACGCGGCTCTGGAGTGCGACGACGGAAGAAGTTGCGGATGCGGTTGCGCAAGCCAGTTGGAGCTCGGTTCGTACATTGATGCCCATGGTATTGACGGTGGTCATGCCCATGACGATGATGATGATGGGGTTGGTAGTGGTATTCGAAACGGTACGACGAGCCAGAGGACGCGCTCGAGGCAGACGAGTAGGACTCGAAAGACTCGTTGCGGTGGGGGTGGTGGTACACGCGGTGGACTTCCTCTGGGGCATGTCGAATCTGATGCGGAGCGCCTCGAGTCTCTGCAGGGACATGCCCGGATTGTCGTACAATTTGTGGGACGGGGGCATGATGGATCCGAATTGGATGGTTTCCAGCTTGTACGGTTGGACCACGTTGAACTGGGGGTTGGTCTGGAATTGGATGGACTCGAATTTGTAGGGCTGGACCATGCTGAACTGGGGGTGACGCATCAAGGATAGGAGCACGGCACATAGGGCACTTGTCGTGCTGCTCGTTATCAGAATTGATCCACATCTGAATGCATTCCCGGCCGTAGACATGGCGACAATTTGGGAGGGCAACAGCCGGATGCTCATCGGTGAAGTCCTCGTAGCACATATCGCACTCGTGGCTGGCGTTGTCTGACATGGTTGTTGATTTGTTTGGTTGATGTAACTTTAATTAGGTAGTTGTAAAGAGGGGTTGTTGATGGCTGTGGATGTGAGAGCTTAGATTCTAGAGGGGAGAGGTATCTTGTATAGACGAGGCGAGGAAGTTGCAGTGAAACTTCATACTTCGGGTGAAATGGTAGGCAATGATGCCTGGATTGCCCTAAAAATGGGCGCTCGTGGAACTTCATGCTCGCACAATGCATAATCCCCTAGCAAAAGAAACCTACAATCGGGGCAGATGAGCTGCAGTCTTACCACTGTACCAGCTTAACCAAAGACCATGCAGTTTCAACCCAAAATTCAGCAAAAAGGAGTTACGGCCTACAAGGTTTACTAAGCGTAATCAATAATGACGTTGTACTGTTTCGAAGCTATCATCTATACAGGAACAGACGGAACGACAGAAGACAAAGCGGGTGCATGAACTTCAATAATGCCAACTTGACAACTCGATGGGAAGGAAAAATTGTGTCTGGTGACTTGAAAACTGAGTATTCCGCGAGAACATCAGCATGTCCATTTGGAAGATCCTCACACATCGGCACCATCGTAAATGCTCATCGTCAGCCGTGTTGCGAGCGTATCGTCGTAGATTGCATGCAGGAAAGAGCAACGGAAATGTAACAAAGTCTATGTAGCGGAAATTTCTCAAAAACGAAGAGAACAAGAGTTTAAGAGATGTTCAAGCTAGTCTGTATGCATAAAAGATGTTGTGAGATAACGGCATTGAAGTGGATTGAAGCCTCAGCATTGAATGGATCCAACACTTCTCTTGATCGCCGGCATGGCGTGGTGAGCCGCTTGCTTCAATTGCAGCCGGACTGCAGGAAACGCACAACCAGACGCACTAAGATCGATTTTTGATGCGTTGATGGGACAATAGTAATGAACCTGAGCTGTCATTCCGCATTCACGAGTCTGAACTTTGGCGTAGAGGCGACGGAGATGGTATCGGCGATTCTGACTGGTCCCGTACAGTGTTTGGTGGTGGTGGTAGCAGATCTAGACTTTCTTGGCTCTGAGAAGGACGCACAGTGGACTCCGACAACGTTTGATATACACTAAGGCTTGAACCGTTGAGTGTTATCGAGCCTTGGGATCGGAGAGATGCAGCTTGACCATGCAGAGACAAGGTACTATCAGCTGCCCTGAATATGCGCGAGTCGAGAGAGTCACGCCCTCGTCTATGAGTCCGGCTTGATGTAGGTGTACTGGGCATGGACTGTGGCCGCTGCGTGTTGTTTCCATGTCGCAATTGATGCAGATGCCACTGGGTAGGGTTACCGGGAGCTGTAACGATAGTGTTGAAGTAAGTACCGTCGTCAGAAAATGATCGGGCGTCGGAATTTAGGTCGCTTGATGTAGAGAATCTCCGTTGGATGTGCTCATAACCTTCTAAGTGGTCTCCAGCATAACGTACTTCATCGGAACGTCGGTTGCTACGTGCCACAAGTGGAGGTAATTCGCCTGGGATAGCGTTCTCTACAATAGGAGAGAGCCCTAGCAATCCTATTGACCTCCTATTGCGAGCCTTGAAGTCCGTGTAAGCCTTGCGCATCCACCTCTTACGTTCATCCTCAGTCATAGATTCAAGAACTGATGCATCCAGGCTTGCTATAAAAGTAGCGACTTCGGATAACTTGGCAGGTTTTGCGTTGGTAGCCGTAGACGGCATTAGTGCTGGGGTATCCTGATGGCCTTGACTATCTTGTATCTGCGACATCTCAAATAAAGACGTTGTCGGAACAGTCTCGATCGTTACATGCAGTGGGCTCCGAACATCGGGCTGGTCAAGTTTAATCGCAGACATCTTGGGTGGCTTTGTAATTTCGGAAGAACGCACGGCGTGGCCCCGGTATAGCCTAGGAATGCGAGCTGCGATCTTCGTTTTGACCTTTGAGACGAGGCGAGACAGGGTACTGCGTTGCTCAGAAGGGGCCAAGGGGCTATCGGAAATAGGAGTTATGGGCTTGTAAGACTGACGCTGCCGAGCTGGTTCTGATACTTTCCCATTGTCGTTAGACCTAGAAAGTTTAGAGGGAACATCCTTCTCAGATGCACTGACAGACGGCTGATGTAAAGGTACCGCGGCCATGGAACTGTCCAGTGATCCGAGAGCCGCTTTCGCGGTCGCGATTTTAACAATATCGATCAGCTTATGGCGGACCTCGTTTTCAATAGAATCCGGTTCGGTTGTGGCAGTAGACAAAAGGGATATCTGGGTCGAATTCCGGGCACTGAATGCCGCCCACGGATCTTTGCAATTATCACAATGAATGTAACTGGCTTGATTTGGATCTTGAGTGATTTTGATCTTCACTTGAACAGCTTTGTGATAATGGTGACATCGTGGACAAGTTCCATGGAATGGTAGTATCCATGAACCTATGGGGAGTGGCTTACAGTCGTCACTGCCTGCTGGGGAAGAGATGGCCTGGACTGTCGCAATTGGGCCATGTGCTGTATCGGGATCAGGCGTATGATGAGGCTCAGCCATAGTGGATGGATGGTCACCCATGGTGAAAGCTGTCAACAAACCGCCCCTGACGCGGCGAATAGCCAACGAGCGCGGATAGGCTGAGGAACAAACTCATGTGCCGATGCCGGTGAGCATGGTAAGCAATGTAAGGCAAGGATGGGCTGAAGGTTGAAGCCCCAATATAGAGTGCTTCGTTTGTGGTGTAGATGGGCGAGGCTGTATTCGAGCTGGATGATAAGGCTACGGGGCGGCCGTTCGTACACCGGACGGGGCTACCTCGAGTTATAGGAAACCACATTCGACATTTATCCCGGGGGCATGGTGGATGCCCCATCACCCTCTTTCAGACGCTGGGTGAGTGAGAGCAGGCACCGTTAGTATCGAGTGCTGCACAGCCACCCGCAGGCCACTGGTGAGCATTGCCTCAGCCCGCCAAGTTTGCAGGCAGCGGGCTGAAAACTAGGATTACGGTCACATAAGCATGATACATTACTCGAAGGAAGTAAGATCGACAGGGAATAATGTGATCAACTGGTGGGTTGGACAGACGAGGAAGGAAAGTGAGGCTGCAGAGGCTTCGGATGAATTGTCACTCGAAGCACCGGGCAAGAATGCGGTGAACCTTTGAGATTGGAGCGGAATCAGGCAAATTCGTTCTCAGTGAGATGTACTGAGGCTAGAACGTTGCGCGTGTATGGGCTGATGTCGAATTGGTGTGGCCGCTTGTAGAGCTTGCGAGTGCGGCTGACTGCGGATACCTCATGATCCAGGCACCAGTTTTCAACATGGAAATGGCGGAGGACGCGATTTGGAGTGTGTCTTCCTTGTGTCATCAGTGTAGCGAAATGCCAGAACATGCGGCTCTGCACGCGCAGATGAAGAGCGTGAGATGCGCTGGTCAAATTGCTGCGGCCGCTCGCTACCGAGCAGACGACAAATGTGTTGCTCCGCCTCAAAGTCCCTCATGCAGGTGAACCTCAACAGGCAGGCTTGAAGCTGGTCGAGTAGAAATTGACTGCCGTCATCGCCGATTTAGTGATGGAAGAGCCGCACTAACAGACAGCGTCTGTTATGGTGATGGTGATGGAGTTGTTGGTGTTGGTGTTTCTGGCGACGGGTGCTTAGTCACTAGCGTCGGAGAGACCCACCCAACCGCTAAGAGCGCACACATCTTGGCGACCAAATATCGAAATCGCCTGAACCTCGACTTCATTAGCAACGACAACACCACACTGACGAGCCCCGACAAGCCGCCATCATGTGTGAGTATCTTCCTACTGGAAACTGTGGATGCCAATACTGATTGTTCACCAGCGCTCGTCTCCGGAGAGAAGTCGAAGTACGTATTGCGCCGTCCCACCGAAGTTTCCATCGAACCTGCCGTCGCAGTCCTCGCACGCATCCAGAGCCTCGCAACATCCAATCAAGATTCCTACGTCTCTATCCTCACCTCAATCCCGGAAGCATGCTCGGACAATCGTCTGTGACCTCGTGAGAGACGGTCATGAGCCTCGAACGAGGAGATCATGCGCAGGGTGGTGACATCCTCCGCACAGCATGCTTCAGGACTGGTGATAGAGACCACACTGGCGAGGTATTGGATGGTTTGTGGAGACTGCGACGCTGGCAGATCGCGGCGGTGGTGTTCGGATATCATGGACTTGCAGTGCTGACGACTCCTAGCTTCCAGTACATCATCCGTTTGTTGAACACGAACGTCGATGGAAAGCAAAAGGTCATGTACGCCTTGACCAAGATCAAGGGTGTCGGTCGCCGCTACTCCAACTTGGTCTGCAAGAAGGCCGATGTTGATCTCGGCAAGCGTGCCGGTGACCTCACCTCGGAAGAGCTTGAGCGTATTGTCACCATCATCCAGAACCCTCTGCAATGTATGTGGCGACACTTTCCGACCCGGAGACCACCTTTAACATTCCCACAGACAAGATCCCCAGCTGGTTCCTCAACAGGCAGCGCGATATCGTCGACGGCAAGAACAGCCAGACCCTTGCCAACGGTGTCGACTCCAAGCTCCGTGACGACCTTGAGCGCTTGAAGAAGATCCGTGCTCACCGTGGTCTCCGTCACTACTGGGGCCTCCGTGTGCGTGGTCAGCACTCCAAGACCACCGGTCGCCGCGGCCGAACTGTCGGTGTCTCCAAGAAGAAGGGTTAGAGGTTTTCGCTTGCGCTGGGCAGCTGGGGCTGGATTACGGCTTCTACGAATCGGGTGGTGCACTTACGGTGTTTATCAAACGGCATGCATTGGCTTTTCACACTCAACATGCGGATTCAACGACATGGAATGGTGATGAACAACCACGGCTAAAGGTTGGCCGGATACAACCTGTAACAAAAACACAAATCAGCTTCCATTCTGTTCATCTTGAGCTTCCAAAGAGTCCTTTTCCTTCTATCGGTTTGAAGCCATCCAACGTGCATTCGTACAGGAGCATCAGCGCTAATGCTGCCACTAAATGGACTGCAACCGTGTTGTTGCATGAGCACCCACAGACTGTTCACCACGTCGCACAGATGCCCCTTGCGTAAAGGCCGCACTACGTCGATTGTGTCCCACTCTTGGAATTGGAATGAGCCATTCGGGACGGTCCGCTAACGGCCGCAAAGCATTCCCATTGCAAGCAGTGGCAACCTTGGACATTAACGTGTACTTTTTCGATTCACATTGACAGTTTGCTTCTCGTGCCCGCTGCGACTATGTCCTTGCGCGCACTGAATGTTTGCATGCTGACTTATGTCTAGATTTACCCATCCGCGTCTTCCCCTCCTCCCCTCAATGCCAAGTGTGGAGTGCGTTGTCTCCCACGCGCGCTGCAGGATCGTCTACTTCTGTCCACTCGCATTCATCTTTCTTCTCCACAATATGCACCTCGTCCGACAAAGAGGATTGAGGGCTACACGTTCCCGCTCGGGCGCCTCAGGCTGATACTGTATGGCTCGATGCCTCTCGCCGTGTGGCATGGTTGCATTGACACCATGCATGGCCAGCAAACGGGCCGCATAGCTCGATGACTACGGTTCATATAAGCCTTGCTCGGGGGACATTTGTCGCCAGGCCAACGTTCGGGCCTGTCTTTCTGTCACTTTTTCTTGTGCTTCTTTGGTTGTTGTTGGTGTTTCTCGCTCTACAAACATCAACATGGCGGCCATGATCGTACCACCACGGACACCGTCGCCCAAGGTGCGCATACGTTCGCAGTCCTTTGACTCACCTTCCTATCGCCATACTGTTACGCCGATTGAAGAGTCGCCCTTCTCAAAGTCCACTGGGGCTATTACTACAGAGACGCTACTACGACATGATGTACTCGAAGCGGCCGATGAGATCGTACTCCAACCTGTCAATATACTTTTGCCGCTGCATACGAAGATGAGCGATGAGTCGATGCTATCAGACGCATCAAGCGCTTCGTCCTCTACTGCTAGTTCGCCTACTGGTTCCGATGAAGACGTGGATCTCGTATCAGAATCACCGTTGCCCTCTATGCAGCGCCAACGACAGCGCCCGCATCCTCTGACATTCTGCCAGTCTGTCGGAGAAGACGATGCACCAATTGAACAACAGCCCTCTTCGCCCTTCATGTATCAAGATACAAGCTTCGAAATGTACTCACCCTGGCTGGTCCGAGTGGTACTTGATCTATATGATGTCCGCAGGTTGGACTGGATGTCGATTGCCGAGCCCATCGAGCGCAAGTGGGGCGTGAAAACAAGCAGCGCTGAGGTACTAAGTATCCTGAGCGACAACGGGCGGGTACTCAATCGACGATGGTGGGATTAGAGCACCGTATGCCGACATTCACCTTTACTCCACTGTGCAGTTATCGGAGTACTAGGGCATGTACATCGACGTTTCCTTCCGTTCTCTGACTACGACTTTCCTTCCTCACGACTTTTTACAATCGTCTTTTTCTCTCTTCACGCATGTCAATGGCTCGGCTTTCATGACTCACGATTCCATGGCATCTGCATTTACGGAAAGGGCAGGGCTCTACTTACGATCACGACACACGAACTTATGAATCAGCACGCATGTACAATTGCTAGTCACGAATCTCACATACGGCGTTTTTGCTCGAATCTTGCAACATCACATTTGACTACATATGCAACAACATCAATTGCCAAATGTCGCAATCCAACCCAGCAGTTATTCGCGCATATCGCGACCGACGTTGGTAGTGGTGGTGTGTAACCCCACGCGCATCATGCAGCTTCATGCATCTTTGGGACAGCTGGCTTGATGCGAGTGGCTACGCACGCATTGCACTACGGAGCCTCGGGCAGTTACAAACGAAGCGTCGAATGTTCTTCGATACGCGTTCGGGGGTATCGTGGTATAACTTGATAGGACTGAGCTAAATGGACCGCGGGCTGCGGGCTGCGGGCCGTCTCGAAAGGGAAGTACACGATAATCAATTAAAGACCACTCACACGGAAGGCTCTTGCGTGTGGGATAGTCTTGAGTTTCTAAGCCTTATATGAATGCCGGATAGGTGGCGCTACATCATCGCTTTTAGTTCTCCAAGAGTACTCGCCTGTTTAGAAAAGATCTAGCCAGGCGCCCGACAACAGGTCGCCATGCACTTCACGAGAATGTCCCTGGGAGCTTGGTACGCTGGTAGCCAGCACGAAGCGACCAACGATCGGAATGCTATGATGCATTGCCGCCCGCTGGTGCCATACAACCCTGCACCCCTCGCACGAAAGCCCGTCTCCAACGACAATGCATCCCATCTCTTTCCTACTATGAGCACCGTGCATTCGACACGTGAGGTCGTGCTGTTCCTCCTTCCTCGCGTCCGCGACGTGTCACCACTCGCTCAGTCATCTGCACCAACAGCCATTTCCAGCACTTCCACGTTGCCCCTGCCTTTGGTCTGACCTTCGATCAACTCATTTAGACCCTTGAATGCTCCGGGCTCTACGAGACCGACAGCCTCCCATTCAGCTCCAACGACATCTTGGCTCTCCACCTTCTCCATCAGACCCAGTATCGCGTCCTTGACTGTGCCTGACGCCTTCTCTTCTCCTGCCGGGGCTTTTGGCGCCGTCTTAGCGGCCTGCTTGAGCACGGATGTCGGACAAGTAATGCGCAGCTTCATCTGCATGCGCGCGACCGGTATCGGCTGGTGTGCGATGAGCGCCTTCATAGCGAACAGCGCTTGTGACTTTGCCGACTTTGTGGTGACGATGCCGGTCCACTTTGGCAGTTCCTTCGCCTTGCCCTTGTCCTCGGCGTCTTCTTTGCTCTCGGCGTCTTTCTTGTCCTTGTCTCCCTGCGCAGATGCTGCCTGGCTGCTTAGACCGTCCAGGGCCTTCTCAATCATGCCGCTTGTGTATACCCTCTTGGTCTTGGGGTCGACCAGCTTGCCTGCCACGATGTCGATGACTTCATTCTTCGTGCGCTCTAGTTCCGCGTTCCGCTCTTTTTCTCCTACTTGTAGTTCGCCATTCTCCAGGATGTCGATTATAATGGCCTCGAGTGGCTTCTTGGGGAACGCTTTTTCGAGGTCGGCTTTTGGTGCGGCTTGGCCTTTTGAGACGTTGAGGAAGACATTCTCGATTTGCAGGACGTTGGACAGGTCGGTCTCGATACGGTTGCGGTACTCGAGGACTTTGTTCTTGTAGCAGGCGATTTCGAAGCGCTTCTTGCCTGTGCGTACTATGTCAGGTTCTGCCGGCGAGGTGTTGGAAAGTTTAATGCGCACCTTTCTTCATGCGCACGAGCGACACATTTGTAAGGCGAATTTGATTCGACGGCTGGTTAATTCCGACTGGCATTTGTGCGATTTACGGCGGGTATCTCAGGAGAAGTTGTGGTGTGGTTATGCGTGTTGCGCGCAAGTTATTCAAGTTGGCCATCTTTTTGGTGGGGGTGCATCATCGCCCTCGCTCAGAATGATTCACAGCAAGGCTGACGAACGCTAGCCCGCATCCGGTAGCATCCGCGGCCCAGCTGTCACCGCAGTCATTCACGCGTCCTGTACCTGAATTGCGAGGCTGCATCACCAAGGTTGTCGAATCAGGGCTGCAAACATGATGATGCATTCGATGTGCGCGCAATAGCCCCGGCTGACCTCTCACACGCATCGTCTGAAGCTATGCTGAAACGCTAAGCCCACCCTCGTGATGTGGAAGCTCGGGCGTGTCCAGCCACCGATAAGCTAGGATGTCGGGGTGCGTCATCCTACTGGTTGCCTGGGTAGACAGCTCCCCAACACCTTCCCCAGCTCGCCCCGTCTCATCACTCCTTCATCCACACCTCTCTCGTGCTTCAGTGTTCATTCATCGAAGCGCGCCCATCTCCATCTTCATACACCTTCTGAGCTCCGGTAGCTCGAACAAACAGCCACTATGAGGGTAGCTGCTTCAGCGCTGCTCGCTGGCGCCGCCTCCGCTGCGGTTGCGCCACAGCAACAGATCCTCAAGTTCCCCAGCTCCTTCAGCGAGCTCAAGGAAGACTTGTGGTCAAAGCCTCTCCACAACCTCGAGGAGAGCCTCAAGTCGCTCACTGGCGAGGCCAAAGCCACTTGGGATGAGGTGGCCACCATGTACCCCGAGAGCTTCGACAAAGCCGCTTTCTTCTCGACACCCAAGCCCCACACCCGCAAGCACGACAGCGAGTGGGACCACATCGTCAAGGGCGCCGATGTCCAGAGCGTCTGGGTCGAGAATGCCCAGGGCGAGAAGGAGCGCGAGATCGATGGCAAGCTCGAGCAGTTCGACCTGAGGGTCAAGAAGGTCGACCCCAGCGTTCTCGGCGTCGACAAGGTCAAGCAGTACAGCGGCTACCTTGACGACAACGAGGAGGACAAGCACTTGTTCTACTGTGAGTACCTGCGTAAGCACTAGCCCGAGATTTTGTCTGACATGATTTAGGGTTCTTTGAATCGCGAAATGACCCGAAGAACGACCCCGTGGTGCTTTGGCTCAATGGCGGACCCGGATGCTCTTCGCTCATGGGTCTCTTCATGGAGCTCGGCCCTGCTTCAGTCATGAAGGATGGCAAGCTCAAGCACAACGACTACTCGTGGAACGCCAACGCGTCCGTTATCTTCCTCGACCAGCCCGTCAACGTCGGCTACTCATACTCCAGCGGCTCTGTGAGCAACACTGTTGCCGCTGGCAAGGACATCTACGCCCTCCTTACCCTCTTCTTCAAGCAGTTCCCCGAGTACAGCAAGCAGCCCTTCCACATCTCGGGTGAGTCGTACGCCGGTCACTACATCCCTGTCTTCGCCTCCGAGATTCTGTCCCACAAGAAGCGCAACATCAACCTCCAGTCCGTCCTCATCGGTAACGGTCTGACCGACGGTCTTACTCAGTACGAGTACTACCGCCCCATGGCCTGCGGTGAGGGTGGCTGGCCCGCAGTCCTCGACGAGAGCTCTTGCCAGGCCATGGACAACGCCTACCCCCGCTGCGCCAGCTTGATCGAGAACTGCTACAAGTCCGAGTCCGTCTGGTCTTGCGTCCCTGCCTCCATCTACTGTAACAACGCCATGATTGGTCCTTACCAGCGCACTGGCCAGAACGTCTACGACGTCCGCCGCCCATGTGGTGACAACCAGCTCTGCTACGATGAGATTGACTACATCTCGGCTTTCCTCAACAAGAAGGAGGTCATGAAGGCCGTTGGCGCTGAGGTCTCATCCTACGACTCATGCAACTTCGACATCAACCGCAACTTCTTGCTCCAGGGTGACTGGATGAAGCCATACCACCGCGTCGTCCCCGGTCTCCTTGAGGAGATCCCCGTCCTCGTCTACGCTGGTGACGCCGACTACATCTGCAACTGGCTCGGCAACAAGGCCTGGACTGAGGCGCTTGAGTGGAAGGGACATGAGGAGTACAAGAAGGCCGAGATGAAGGACTTCAAGATCGACGGTGATGGCAAGAAGGTCGGTGAGGTCAAGTCCTCGGGCAACTTCACCTTCATGAAGATCCACGCTGGTGGACACATGGTGCCCTTCGACCAGCCTGAGGCATCCCTCGAGATGGTCAACAGGTGGTTGAGCGGAGAGTTCTGGGAGTAAATTCCTGCACTGAGAGGAGGTTTTGGAACAATTTGGTAAATTGTTGGGCATGGCTAGGATGGAGTTCCGGCTTGGGTCCGTTTTGTAGTATAAGCATATCAATCAATGTAAAGAATTAAGCTTAATCATGATCTCGGGATGGCTTTGCGCGACGCGATGAATAAGGTGTGATGTACATGGTGTATGTGTTGCTGATCATATATTCGAATGGCGGCAGATGGGGAAGCGAGGGTGATCGACTCCGCTGTGGTTTCCTCCACGCTCACGATCTCCTTCACATTCTAGAGCTGGTCGCATTCACCCAACGGACATGGACTACAGGCCAAATTCCCACCCAGCGTCAAGATCATTTTGGAACCCCTTCGCAAAGTCGATATTGAACGAGTCGGAGATATCATCAACTGGCTCGTCTGAGTCCTTGCTGATGTTGGCAAGGTTTGCAGTATAGGTCATAATCGATCACCTGTGTTGTCGATGATTCCCCCTCCGCGTGGTTCGCCTTTTCGAGAAACTCACGGTACTGCTCTGGATGACACGAGAGGTCTTCTGTTGGGTAAAAAGCCTCATCTGATGCCCTTGACTGCGGTGTGTGACCGGTAGCAGGCGCGCTGTCTTCCTCCGCGGAATTTGTGTCTAGTGATGCGTAGCCAGATTCTGAGGCATGCGTTGACGCGCCCGAGCTGCAGCCCTTAAATGTAGATAGAAGTGGTGTCACAGTATGTCTCTGCACGATGGCGATGTCAAAGGCCTGGTCGAGTAAATCTGGGAGTGACGGGGTATTGGACCTGCTATCTTGCCTAGTCCTCTCGTGCAGATCATCCAGCCTGAAGTCCGCACGCTCCGGTCGGTTTTCTAGCAGACCTGAAAAGTTCTTTGTGACTTTTTGACGTAGTAATTGCAAGCCCAGATTCACGTAGTCCTCGGGGCCTACAAAGCGGTTAGTACTGGCGCTGCTTGTAGTCGGGGTTAAGAAAGACTCTTACGGGGATGTAGAGGTGGCTCTGAAGCGAAAAGAACTTCATAAATGTAGTTCCAGTACTGATCATCATCCATGCTCCTGGGCTTGTTCCTCCAGATCTGCTTCTGTTGGTCGGCTGTTATTCCTTGCCGACGAGTAGGGACAGTGACGTCCTGTACACAGGTTTGCTGGATGAAATGCCTGTCCTTTTCACTGTTGCTATTCAAGCCTGTGAAGAGTTGTCCGCAATTCGGACAATGCACAGGAGTCAGATGATCTCGCTTCAGATGTTGTCTATTGACTACGTCAGCTTCTTCGCTATTTAACTAGAATCACAGGACTCACTTGAGATGAGGTATGTTATCTGTCGCATAAGTCCAGCAATTGGAATAACTGAACGGATCGCGCTTTGGAAACGGACAGGCGAGTAGTCCTTCCATAACCTCGCCAGCAATTGGGACATGTTTCACTCTTCTCTTCTTGCCTTTCTTGTCCTCTTCATCTTCATCTTCTCCAAATTTCCTTCTTATGGGACATTTAAACGGGGCAGAACTCTGCGAAGCGGTAGCATTATTTCCCTCTTGTCCAATGTCATAGTTTTGGTTCGTTGTTGTGTGGTGACCATCTTGTGCGCCATCACCATGGCTCTCGTAATGAGTGCTGTTGTTCCAACACTGGATGTGCAGTTTTCCGATGGAATTGAGTAATGTGCCGAGTTCTTCGGGCTCTTTCTTCAGTATCACGCGCTCTTCAGTCCCCGAGTCCATGTCGCTATCACACGTCCTCCACATGCCAGCCTCATCAGGATCGCTCGTTTGACTTGTGACTGTACTGTATATCGGATCATCATTGGATATGCTCCCGTCAGCCTCAGACTCTTTATGATACTCCGGATGGAGAAAGTTGGGAACACGCTTCGTGACGTTGATGTGTATAGCGGGGTTTGATCGGGAACCGACGTCTCCACCTATGCCAGTATGTTCGGCGGAGATGCTCCGCCACCTTTCTATCGTGGCTTCGTGTATCTCTTTCTGATTGGAATGCACCTCTCGTTCTTTCGGTGGTGCCATCTGCGATAAATTGGCGTGTCGTCTCCGGTAGTGTTTCAAGCGAGCATCTGGTCGCTTGAATATCATGTTGCAATGTTCAAATTCGCAAGGGAATAGCCGTTCCTCTATGCTCCGGTGTTTTAAGCGCATGTGCCTTTGTAAACTACCTCGACGATAGCGGCCAGTAAATACCATAGCACACTCCCCATGCACGCATGTAAGCACTTCTGGGATATTCATAGAGGATCCAGGCGGGCTTTTTGCAGGGGATTCTGGTTCGCTCCAATCATTTCTCAATCCTAGCTGACACGAAGGTTGTAAATGTCCATGCTGCGTCGTATCCGGAAATGCTAATGGCGTCTCCCGGTGCACTGCTGTCTCCTCGAAGTGATGCCCCTGGTAACCTGAACCGATACAAGCTTCAGCCGATAATATATGGCTGAATTTTTTGCCTGTGTATAGATTCTCAGCCTTTCCAGTAAGCTCGTCAAATTGTCCATCCCCATGCCACTCTTCACATTCAATCCCATGTGCTGTTTCAGCAGCTTCACCCCATCCTGGAGGCGATGTTGGCAAAGTCTTTCGATGCCACCCACTATCATAGGCATCAGGTCGGGATGAAAGCTCCGTGGAGTATCGCGGGGATGCAGGAGCATCCCTCGAAATAGAGGGATATCTATGAGAGCGATGCATAGCGTAGCCACAAAGTCATGTGTACATAAAAAAAATTTGCGGTTTGTGATGGTTGTTGGAGATCATGCAGATAGCTAAGTGGCGAAACTCAGGTCGGAAACCCACAAGTTGTGGGATTTTGCTTATTCGCTGAAAGAAACCGCCCCCAAAACATTGCGGAACGGAAATCTACACTCATACCACATAACTCTACACGGAAGATTTTTGATTCAGAATGGGACTTGTTTCTTCTTACATTTGTTCTGCATCTGAATCTTATCAAAAATGCTGGAAGTCACTGAAGGGAACATTGGAAGCTCTTGCGAGAAAGATCCCACGCCCTTTTGACAGCAAAGTCTTAATCCCTTTCTCAGATCTAGCTCTTCCGAATAATATGTATATATCGCAACATGGCCGTACCCAGAATAAGAAACACAATCCCTTCCCTCCTGCCTACCAGAAAACTTTGTTCTATCATCGGTCTACTGCTTTAAATTCACCCATCATGTCAACCTCTCATAGCATCATGCAACCAAGCACTGTCACCATTCTTCTGCCACAAGGTAGGGGGCACTACCGTACGCACTACTTCTCGGGAACGCAAGACGAAGATGACGCGAAGATCCTGGCTCGTCTTTCCGCACTATCGCCTACGAGCCTTGACCCGATCGAACAGGGAAAGAGAGCTCTTCGAGCCATGACAATGAGCAGGTTGTTCGTAGGCAAAGCGAAGCTTCCCAAGGTTGGAAGAGCAGGTCTTTCGTTCTCTATGCAGCACGCTAACTTTACTACAGGTCCATGACATGGAAGCGCAAACGGTTTCAGCGGCTTACGTTCGAATCATAGAGAAGGACGAGATGATCACCAACCTTCTCAGAGGCTCTCCTGTCTTGGATCGTGGTACCGTTAATGTCTTTGCGCATCTAGTGGATGGTACAACTGGCCAGGACGATGCATCATCCATTGTGGCGTGGTGTTTCTACTACAAGCTTGATGGGACTGCAGCAGCCTTCTGGCTTTTGTTCGCACTCGTGCTGGCCATCTTTGTAGGAGCCTCAGTTGGGTTTGGCTCCAGCGATGGTAAACTTGGTTTGGGTGTAGGTGGTGGTTTACTCGCTGTGTTGACAGCAGTTCAGGTGGCGATCATCATGTGGAAGACTTACTGAAAGGAGTCACGTTCGGGTATTATTGAAGAAGTCTACTATGTATTCCAGATTGTATACTGCGGCGACTGAAAAAAAAAGACGCTGTCGTAAACTCAGTCATCACGATCGAACCAAATAAGACCATCCTTGACATCCTTCTCCATTTCAACGCCTACCGCCGCTACTTTTCCACCCTCTACCCGAATCTCGCTTCGCATCGTCGCGTACAGAGCGCCTTCCCATACACCATGCGATTCTGCAATGAACGTGTTGTCCGTCAGATGCTGGAAGGTGATTATATACGGAAAGCATCGATCGCTGCAGTCCGCCGTGAGCTTTCCATCTTTCATCTCCAGCACCAGCCCCTTATACCCCACATTATGATACTTCCCCGCAATTTTCTCCAGGGCGATATCGAGCGGCTCCACCTTATCCACCTTTGTCCACTCGGGCTTCTCCGCATCCTCTTCGTCGTCCATGGCTTGGAAGTTCTTGAAGAATGGTCCCCAGTCGATGCGATCTTCCTGCCGCACGCCGATCGCATCATCAAGCAACGTGTACTTCAAAACATCATTGACATATACTGCAGAATCCGAATTTCCGAAGATTACCAGGCCCCAGTCCAATTTGGGAAGAAAGCTTATGACTGCTTTGAACCCCGGCACCGAGCCGTAATGGTCGATCATCTTGTGTCCGCGATAACTTGTGAGTGACAGGCCCAACGTGTACAGCTCCTCGCTTTTGTATGGAATCGCCCATTTCTCGTCGCCTAGGAGGTCGAAGCTGCGCGGCGTGGCAAGCGCTTTGTGGCTGTCTTCAGAGAGTATGGGGTCGCGCTTGATCAGCGCGCGAATCCATTTCGCGTAGTCGCCTGCGCTGCTGTATATGGAGCCCGCGCCATGACCCTCGGGAGCGGGAGGGTAGTGTGGAAGAGCTACGTAAGACTCTGTCTCGTTGTTCCAGTGGTACGATGTTGAGCGGCGATCTTTGTCGCTGTTCGCTTCGATGTCTGGAATGTCGTGGAACGTGTTGGTCATACCGAGAGGTTTCCAGAGCTTCGTGCGTATGAATTCCGTGTAAGACATGCCGCTGACAGTCTCGACGATGAGTGTGGCGACGGTGAACATGATGTTGCAGTAAATGTGCTCGGTGCGCAGAGGCTTCACAAATTCAAGGTTGCGCAGATTGCGCGTCATGGATTTCGCATTGTCGGGGTGTTTTCCTCGAATGCTGAAGTACGACTCGTCGTGGGTAGCGATACCACTGCGATGACTTAAAATGTCTTCGATTGTAACATTCGCTGTTAGATACGGGTCAGGAAGGACGAAGTCGTCGGGAAGGAGTTTCGAAACTGGCGTGTCCCATTGTACATCTGGATACTGCTCGTCGTCCACCAAAAGGGCTACAGCTCCTGCAGTGGTGCTTTTGGAAGTACTTGCCAGGTCGAAGAGAGTTTCTGTGGTAGCTTCTGTGTCTGGTAATTTCGAATACCCAAATGCCTGACATATATGAGCAAAGTGTACTCGTTCATGCGGTGTTGCTTACCTTCGACCAAATCTCATCACCTTGCACAACGGCAAGAGATAGTCCGGGTGTGTTGAATTCCTTGATCTTCTCTAGCACGAATTTCTCGAACTCGGGGGTTTTGTAGGCCATGATGTAGAGAATGTTATATGTAACAGCAATGCTATCTCACTGTTCAGTATATATATGCTATCTCACTGTTCAGTATATATATGCAACTGCACCTCATGGTTGCCTTACTACTATTTTGGCGTACCTGGCGTGCTCTATGGAAAGTTACGCAATCTCATAGTGACTCATGTAGAACCAGTTTGGAGCGATACTCAATCCGACATAGGTCATTGTGTTACCGCGTATAGATCACAAATGGCAGCTGGCTTAGCTGTGCTGCGCTGTCGAAGTACTGCGCATCTGAGTCAGCACTGCAGGATCGTGCGATAGCCAATCGGATTTGACATGTAGCGATCTTCCATGTGACTGAATGTCCTCCGCCCGGATGTCACTCCGTGAAAGCACCCAAAAGCACTAGTCTAGGCCAACCAAAGATTTTTGGCATCCTCATGGAGCATCATTTATCGTTGGTCATGAATGAGAGAAAGCGGTAACGGTGGATACCACACCTGTGGAGCATGTTATATTGCGATAGTCCTGGGTCTTGAAGCTTTCTTGATTGACCTCTAATCATGAGATGTTTTGAATGACATGTAAGGAAAAGCAAAGCTCAGTGATAACTAGAGCATGCGATGATCTCTTCGACCAAACACAAAAATTTCAAACGACTCCCGACAAGCCTTGTCCATGTGGCTAGCAAAGCTGCTTGCAGTATTTGATCCACTAGACCCGACAACTTGGTGAGCTAAATTGGGATCCGCGATCTTGCTTTTTCCCATCCGCTATGACGCTCCGGACTCCGACTTTGTGAGTCGCATGCCATGGCTCATCCTGAGAGCACTAGTAATGGCATCGCATTGTCCGTGTGCGCATCCATATTGAAGTGGATTATCAGTATAGGTCTACCCTCTGATGAAAGAGTCGAACTCGATGTCTCTCTTCGGGCGTGGCTTGATGTTGGGATCATACCAAGCGATACATACAGAGAGGGTGAGGGCCATCGGAAGAAAATCTGAATTAATAGTCAGCAACAAATCGTGGGTATTGGGGGATATGTATGTCAGGATAGCTGTGCCAGCGGTGGAAACTGGCACCGTCTGGGCTTGCTCAACTTCTGCGCGGGGTTGGTAGAGATTCTAGCTTACTACGCGAAGGTCAGCGATATATTTCACCGAGTTATTGAGGTTGACAGCTTACCCGTATACATAGAGAGGCCACTCATGGGAGAGCAGGTAACCTTCCTGCGCTTCGTTAGCAATTTGCTCGGTATCTGCCTTCAATGCCGACTCACCTTGCCCATAGCATACTCGATAACACGACACAAATTTCGGATCGTAATAAAGAAACTAGCAGCATACAAGAAGCTAATATACTTCTTCCATGGTAACTCGGCGGCAGCAGCCGTGGGCTGTGCACTAAGTCGGCGGTGCCAAATGCTTGCTACCACGACGAAGAACAAGAAGATCAAGATCTGCAGAATTAGTCCACCAAGAATGATGTTTTCGCCCCTCTTGAAGCCCTCTGCATCGTTGGCGCTGACCAGCATTCCGGCACCACCAGCCTGAATGAAGAAGCAGAGAATATCGCCAGTCACGAAAATCTTGGTAACCCATTTCGCGCGGATTATCGAGTACGAGGCTGAGTCGGTGCGAGCAATAAGTCGGCCGAGGATCATATAGACCGAAGCAGCGAACAGAATGGGTGCGACGAGGATAAGCGTCGACTGGATGATGTAGGGTGTTGTTGAAACGGTATCGTTGTGGGCTGCAGCACGCGCAGCGTAACCGATAGTCTCTGCTAGGCCTCCGATAACAAATGGAACACAAAACCAAGTACGGTTCTTGATGAGTTTCCAGGTATGCAGAATAGTAAGGACGAAGAAGACCAAGGCTGCGACGACACCAGCAGCTATAGTGGGGGTGTAAGGCCAAAGTACATACTTTGGGACATCATTTTCGGCCATCGTCGGTATGAAGTACAGGATCGAGAATCGGGTATGTGGCTGCTGGGTAAAGACTGAAAGTCTTCGGAATTGTGTGGTTGGAAAGGGTGAGTATGGCGAGGTGTTGTAGAGAGTGTAGTACGAAAGTGACATATCCAGGAGCATCCTCCTTATATGTCTCGGTAGACTCCATTGATTTCGGGGTAATGCGAGGCATGCTGCGGTTGCGTATATGCTATACGATGAACGTTAGCGACCCGGCAGCTTTACGCTATGAAGTGGGTACGGGTGCCTCTGGAGAATACGCCAGGGGGCTGCCGCTTCTTCTGCAATACGAAGTACGCGTATTCGCTTCGGCGCAAACGCAACACGCCCACTACGCTAAATCGCTGAACGGGACCATGCAGGAACTCGCAGCCAACGCTATCAACGAGTGCGTCTTCATCTTATTTGCCAACAGGCGATTGAATCCAGACGTGCCTGGATGCATGTATGCGAATTGTCTTCCACGGCGGCCCTGTGCAGGTACCCACTGTAGAACACTCCATCTTAAAATACATTGGAGTTTCCTGAGATGCGTAGCTGTCGCATGTCCGGATTCGCTAGGTCCACAATTACTGACCTGACCACATTGGCAGACTATTTACGCACGCAACGCTGTGCCTCAAATTGATGCTAGGAAGCCCAGCGGCGCTGATCTGATTCAACCAAAAAGATTTCGACATGCTTCAAGATATAGGCGTTACGGGACCGCCGCGTATTTGTGCCTTCGGCCATTCAAGCCAGGACTGCCATTCAGTCGGAACGAAGGCATTTGCGATGTTCAGTATCTGTTCAGCCTCGCCATCCAGGTACCAATATTGCCTGCTTCTGTGCAAAAGCACAGCGTAGTGTGCTAGAATGATCAAAGAGCCTGGTTGGCGTTCTGAAAGAAGCTCTACGTATCGATCGGAAACGAAATGAATCCAAATCTTCAGTAGGGCGTCTGATGGTGGCCTTGCTGATTCTGCAGCTACGACAAATGTGAGCTCAAGGATATGGATCGCGTATCCGTAGGCATCTATGATATCCGGAGGATATATGTGGTGTACTACCTCGGCAAATTTGCGAAGTTGTACGAGTCTGTCGATGAAGTCAGTAAACCTGCCCTGATACGCCAAAGCATGTCACGACACAAGGTCTGGGAAACTCTCAAGGAGGAGTAAAAGGTCCACGTACTCGGTCTCTACAGGCACTTCTTTTGTCTCCCAATTTATTCCCTTCACATCGGAAGGTATCATCGCGCCGAGTTCGGATTTCATCATTTCTTGGTAGAACCCAGTAACCATTGGGCGTACGCGACGAGTCAACACCAGGTTTGATAGGAAGTTTCCAAAAGCGAGGTCCAGGTCATCGCTGGCAGTTACAGAAGCGGTACACGAGTACGGAAAAAGTGCACCGGCGAACATCAAGACCGCCTCCCAATTTGTGTCGTCGATATTAAGAACTCTGGTTCGAAAATCGTTCAGTGCTGCGTCATGATGCTGATCGGCCAGGGATACATATTCCGTGTGCGATGATGAAGAAGGCCCTTCCAGTCGACTCAAATGAAGTGCACCAAGTGCCAGGATTGCATGAAGGAGAAACGGGTAGCTGAAAGCAGTCTTGACCAGATGTGTGCTAAACACCACTTCCGCTGCAGAGTCATGGGCAAGCGTTTTCGCAGTCACAGTCGTATAGTGATGGAGAAGACGCAACTGAGCGATATTCAGATTGGTGATGTCTGGGCTACCTCCATCTGGGACAGTATTCTTCTCTGGGATTATAGCGTCTGTGGAGGTTGGTGTAAGACTTGCAATGGGCATAGGAGATCCTGTCGATGGTTCTCGACTCTTTGGTGATTTGTATTCGCACGGTGTGCCTTGTTTGACACAATTTGCGCAATTGGGCCTTTGCTCATCGCACTGGTTGTGGTCAGCCCATCATTGCGTAAACAGGCAGCGCGTAGTGATCACCTTCACGTGCCGTCCTTTGCATGGCAGGCATCCATTGCGCGACTTTTTGTGCGGCTTGCGCGTCTTAGATCTATCCATTGCAAGTAGACGCGTCTCATGATCAACAGGCACTTGTTGTTGATATTGTGCTTTAGTGAAGCTTCGACAAAATGAGGATCGAAATGCGGCGCCCGTGGAGGTCACTAGCATGCGGTCCGTGCACTCATCACAACCGACGTCCGAAAGATCTCCCACCGGATTCCCACGCGTCTGATAACTTCACAATTGCGCCCATTATACATTAAGCTCTGAACATCAACTTTCGCTTCCAACCCCATGATCGAGATTGTGAACCAAATTGTACTTTGAATGCGACTTTTCGCATTCAATGACCGTACGCTATTGCGTCTTCTGCGAGAACGTAGGCAGACATGTATCCTTTACGCACGCAGGAGGTAACATATCAGTCTCGATACATCGTCGGTACGTAAGACCTGGGGTTGAAATACATATTGAAGAAGTTGATTGTGCATAGAACGACCTCGCACTTTTCATTCAATCTTATAAAGTTACAAGCAAATTCACGTTGAGGAAGGAAACTCAACAAAAACTTTGAAACAAATTTAAGAGCATGCTATGAGTTTACAATACATGCCCTACACACTGTGAGGTGCATTGGGATTAAGTGGCCTCCACTTTGATCATCAGCTATCAAGAGCAAGGCGCATGTCTGACGAGCATCTAGCTGGCAGATACCCAAATACAGCGTGATTCTGCAGCATCTTAGCAATACTGGACGCTGACCTTGTCAGAAATGTCGCCCTGCGCCTCGGCTTGTCAAAATACTCTCACGCTCGATTCACTTCCGACCAAAGCGACAAATCTCGTGGAGAGTTCACGTATTACCTGAAGCTCACAGGTACGTTGGTCCAGCCGAAACGTCTCGTCAGCCAGATTGCGCAGCTCTCTGGAAATCTCAGTGGGGCTGTTCCACAGTCTACGAGTTTCCAGGACCAGCTCTCTCATCATCATGTTCATCTCCCTAATCTCTTGTTCAATTTACAGCGTTGTTTGTCCGCGTCTCATCGAAGGCTCTTGCTGCGGGGTGCGTCTCCGCTCAGTGCGTCAGGATAGTCTAGTGATTTCGACACCACGCTCTCTGATCTGAACAATGATCTGATAGATCTCTTGTTGAATCTGCTGCGTAGCTCGACCGAGACTCGGTATACCCAGTCGCTGCTCAGTATGCACTATCACTTGTGCGTGCATCGCTTGTTCATGATCCACTGTGTTCAACTCGGTCTCAATGAACTCGCGAACGCCAGTTAGTGTTTCAGTATTATGCGAACTTGAAATGTTAGCGAGCAGCTCCTGGATTAATTGCTTACGGCTCTGCTGAGCGCTCTGCACTAGCACAGCGCGATACATTGGGCACGTGCCTTTGTTCTCGCGCGCGATCTGTCCATCGATCCAAAGTTTGAGGCAGATGCGGTGGAATATGTGACTGCAGACATAGATGCACACGATCTGCGTGAGTAGCGCTGTGTCAGTGCTGTCAATGTCAGCGGAATCGTCACATCTGCATATAGGGCATTTGGTATCTGTGTCCTGGAAGTGTGATGTAGGGAGATCTTTGGCAGCGAATATCGGCCGAGACACGGTGCTGTTTACTGTTGCAAATAACACCGTTGCGTCGTGAAGAATCTGGGTTGTGTTCGACGTTGCAGACATTATGATCTAGGAAGCAAGTTAGGGTCGTGCTTGAGTTGGCAAAGTCGATAGAACTGCGTTTAGGTGAGCATGAGCTGTTGGGAAACAAGGTGGGTGGTTCATACGGGTCTAAAAGTATTGTCGGATTCTCTCGCCTTATGAATGTACAGTGACGCGCCAGAAAATTTCCGTGAAACCATCTCATCACAGTGGAAGCACAATGTTATGGGGCGATTGGAATTTGGAGGTGGTATGTCAAGTCTTACGAAAGTCAGCATGGATAAGCTCATAATGTGGATGGTGGCGAAGAAACCATGCATTGTTTATCCTTTCTTCGGAGTATATTAGCACTCATCAAACCCATCACACCTACTGCCCTTTTCCCTTTCCCTTCCAATACGGGTTCTCACTGATGCACTTCGGGGGAACCTTCTCGGACGGCAAGTCATTTTCCAGAAACACCAGTCTCCAATCTCCGGGCATCTTGTACACGCAGCGGAACTGAAGCAGGTTCTTTGCCTTCTTCTTCTCCGCGTACTTGATGACATCCCCAGGCATCTTGATCATATCCGACAGCTTGGACCAGTCGAACTTCCTCATGTCGCCGACATCGAACAGCGCCGATTCCCCGGCCGCAGCTTTGTCCATCTTCTCGATAACTGTAGGGTGGCGAAGGTCGAATGGTGCGACAATGTACGTTAGCTTGTCAGCATCAATTTGGTTAGGGCGCTCTTGGAGACAGGAGACTACGGCCATCTCGAGCTTGTTCCTGCAGAGGAGAAGGTGGTCATTATCGCCGACGAACATATTTCCGAGTTCGAAGCCGGGGGTACTCCTGCAGGAGGTCAACATACTATCCAGGCTCTTCAGTTGCTCTAGCTCAATAGTCATGTGCGTAATGTGATGAAAGTTGCTCATAAACGCCATGTGCTTGTCGTAGTGGGAGCGGAACGGAACACGGTACTTCATCTCACTGGCAGAACGATTGAGGTAGGGTATCCAAGGCTCAACGGTGCTGTGATGAAGGTCATATTGCGCACCGGCGAGGTCGAGAGCAAGCTTAGTACCATCTTTGAGCGTGATGCGGTATACACCCTTGAGGTCGCTCAGAGCATCCTCGTCTGGGTTCTTAAGATCGTCGCGCTTGGTCTTCTTGCCGGAGCTGTCGATGTGGCGGACAAAGCGTCGCGTACCGTTCGGGAGTCGGTGCACGAGTTCCTTAATGTCTTGCTTGGGGTCATTGATCAGATCTGAATTGCACAGTCAGTCGGGTCGGGTGCTGTATCTCGTATCGCTTACCTTTGAAAAGGGCCCGCACAACGAAGTGCATGTTCATGAACATCCACACTGAGCGCTGATCAGCCAACAACATGTGCTTTGCCTTTTGTTCAGCTGCTGACCTGAAGAGCTCAGGCGGGATCTTGTACAGCCAGCCACCAGCATATTGTTCGCAAGTGCTCTCTCCCCCAGGGCCGTTGTCATTGCCTGGACCACGAGTGACCTCAAGCGCTCTGATCTCGCGATCCCGATCTGGGATGATTTTGATGTTGCTCATGTCGTATGTCCAAGTGTGCTCGATGAAAGAGTAGAAGATGACCTGTACGAGTTCGCCTGCCCGATATGCGCGATCGAGGAGGTCCTTCTTGTCATCCTTGCTAAAGCAGGTCGTCTGATGTGTAAGCCTGTCTGCCTCCTGGCACAATGGTGTGCAATACCAACGCACATTTAGTGGACGGCCACCAACTTCAGTTTCGGCGCAGCGTTGGCACCAGATGTAAGCAGGCTTGGTGCAAACAACGCACTCCTTGTCGGCCATGTTGTTGTGGTGTGTAGTAGAAGGTATGGAGGTCGAAAGAGAGATGTCTGATGGGAGCAAGGCAGCAGTTCCGGGGATGAGAAGCATATCTTACTGAAAACACGCGGTGAAGGAGAATAGAGCAATGATGCAACCAACAACAACTCGCGACCGAGCAAACGCACGAGACGCATCACCAGTTCATGTTTCTTCATAAATTGAGCTTCTGCAAGAGCTCAGCAATGTCAAATGCTACTTGATGATTAATCAGAGAATAGTAGCAGCGCTGGAGTTTTCACGCTGCAAAGCTTTCGATACATGACTCTGGGTGGCCTTGAATGTCATTGCGGCCATTTCTCCCGGCAGCGTCTCTTTGCGAAGAGATGCGATCACGAACAAGAAGTGAGCAAGATGCATCTTAGAAGTCGACGAGAACGGGCCTTTTAGATTATAAAGCTCGTCGCACGTGGAGGTTTTGTTGATGACGTGGGGTCCTCGCCTGTGATTGGCTGGCTCTGTTGCTATGAGGAAGGAGCGTCGCTTAGTTTGTTTACATGGATGGAACCGCCCCGAACTTGTACTACACACACGCAGCCGCAGCCTCTCCACCCACAAATTGCACCTGCATCATAACGAGACATAACTAACTAAAGACCAAAGTCACCTCCTACCACCGCAAATCTGGCGCGACTCAAAGAGCAAGCGGTCCAAATGGATCCGCCATCGCCTTCTAAACTAGGCATGTCGCCGCCATGGAAGCCATTCGCACTCAGCCCGGAGCGCGCAGCAGGCACGATTCCACCATATGACGGCCCTCTCCCACAGTCGCCCTCTGCACCCTTGCTATCATCGATACCACCACTATCGCCTACACGATCACCAAATCGCTCGCCTATTCGCGGCCCGATGCATCGACGCACCGACTCAGACGTGTCTGTCCAGGGCCTCGCGGTCATGTTCGAAGGCCTCGAGGTTAAGGACCCCCGAGAAGCAGTCCAGCGATACAAGCAGATGCTCGAGAAGGAAAAATCCAAATGGGCCGAGAAGTTCCACCGTCACGAGAAGGATCACAGCACCATCCTGGAGCGCAAAGCGTTGCGTATTGAGGAGTTGGAGAGCGAGCTAGCACAGGCAAGATCAAGCCTGCAGGTCGGCGTCTCCAAAGACCAATACGAGAAGGAATGGAAGGCACACAAGGCTAATGTCAAGAAGTGGGAGCAGGTCTTCAAAGACCGTGAAGAACGATGGACCTCAGACTCGATCAAAGTGGTGAGTATCTCCGAAATTTCATCAAAATGAGCCATACTAATGCGCTCGCTAGAAAACTCTCGAAGAGCAGAACCGAGTGCTTGAGCAGAAGTACCGCCAACACCAGAAGCACGCGAGGCAAATGCAGACTGAGAACTTGAAAGTCACCAACATGGTGCCGACCATGCAGGCCAAAGTGCAGAGCCTCGAGAAAGAGGTGCGACGGACAAGGTCAGATCTCGACTACAAGTCAAGAGAGGCCGACAACTACAAGAACCAGGTCTACAGCCTGCAGGTCGAGTTCGAAGGCGCCGTAGCTCGCCTGAGTGAAGAGGTGCAAACACTAAAAGACACGCTCAAGTCAGTCGAAGGCGAACGCGACACTCTAAAGACTAGCTTGAAGGAAGAGGAGGTCATGCGCATCGCGGCAGAGGGCCACATCCCGCTACCAACTGCTGGTGCAGATGAGCACGATGAATTCGGCTCGCCAGTGCGCTCCCCACGCAAGCCACGGAGCGTGCAGCGCGAGGATGATGACAAGGAGAACGTGGCTCCCAAGAAGTCAGCAGTCGAGTACAAGCTTCTTCAGCAAGAGCTGGCCACAGAGAAACGCCTTCGCGAGCGCGCTCAGGACCAGATCGACTTCATGAAGATGGAGTGCCAGTTCCAGTGCTGCTCGTGTCGCATTGCTGAGAACAAGGGCAAGGCATACGTACACGACGACACATACGACACCCAGATGCAGCACATCAAGACCTCTGTGCCCGTATACACTCCTCCAGCCAGTGCGCATGAGGATGATGTGATGGAGGGAGTGCTGATGAAACAGGAACCAGTTGAAAATGAACGTCCGTTCACACCTCCAGCAGATGAGGTCCGTACTGCCATCTCCGAGACCGAGTCCAGCAATTTGGCTACCGAGGCTGAAGCTGTGATTGCCTTCTCGCCATCCACTGGCACATTCAAGGCCATTCCCTCTCCTGTCAAGGCTCCCGCATCTACACACGTGGACACCCCCGCGAAGACCCCCAACTTGGATCTGTCTACTGTTACCGAGACTTTTGTTGCGTCTTCGCCATGTGCCCCAGATGCCCCAAGCGTTGTACCCGAGGCTGTGAACCGCCGCAGCATGTCAAACGAGAACAAGACCGCATGTATTGACATTCACGAGGACGCCATGGACGAGGAGGATGAAGAAGAGTCTGAGCCTCAAGTACCGACACAAGAACATTACGAACCCGCCACACCTGCACGTTATGAGCTGCACACCACCACAACCACCATTCCCATTGCCTTCTCGCCGGCGACGCCAGCTTTTAGACCTGGCTTGGGACCTATGACGCCTTCCACAATCGCTCACGCTGCATCGGACGCACAGACGCCTGTGCTGGGGGAGTTATCTCTGAATCTGCTGCCAATTGATAGAGAGAAGGCACTGCAAAAGATCCGTGAACGTCGCGGCCGTGCTAGAAGTTTCGCTGCTGGTCACGGAACGCCCATGAAGCAGATGGTAGAGGGCGTGAAAGAGCGCAGGGACATTAGTGCGCCAGTGTCAAGGGCACGCAGATGAGGGCACAGATATCTTCTTTCAAGGAGCTAACTGGTGCGCAGCAAGAAGTGTAACTTGCTCGATTTCGTCGTCTTCTTTCCCGACGACCTCAGCGGCATTGCATGGAGTTCCGGAGTTACCGCATCTGTGCAGTGTATTTGGCGTTGTATACCTCTTGTTTTTGGCGCACTTGAAGAAAAGGGTTGGGTTGTCGAGTGCGGCCTTGGTTTTGGATACTCACATAGTACAATTCGAATTTGTAATAGCAACTAAAAGAGTTTCTCTTTGAACCAAGACTTGAAGTCCGCGAAGTAGTAACAGTGGAAGTGTTGCGCTTAGCCGTTTCTGTCACCATTTTGGTGGGGTCGCTCATCGCTCTCGCACATCGCGGTGTGTTGCGTGCCAAGATATGCGCGCCTCTCATTGGTCACCTAGCCGAACTGAACAATCGAATTTCGCGGTCCCGCGACTTCGAAGCTCTCAAGTCCAGCGACAATCACCGACCAGCGCCCACTTCCTCCTTCCTCTACCAACCGAAACCGCAATCATGTCTGACGGAGAAATCGAGGTCGAGAGCCCCGCCGGCTACGCCGTGCTCCCCAAGGAGGTCACCGACGAGATTGGCAGCATCAAGCTGTTCAACAAGGCACGTCTGTCACGAAAGTCGGACACGCACAATATTCTAACAATCTGCAGTGGAGCTACGAGGAGGTTGAGGTCCGCGATATCTCGTTGACGTACGTTCACCCACTCGCAACCCGTTGCACACAACTTGGAGGAACGAATGATTGTGGCATCGGAGACGTGAAATTGCGCAATGAGGGCATGGGCTAACAGGCTCGCAGCGACTACATCCAAATCCGCTCGCCCGTCTACATCTCACATTCTGCCGGCCGCTATGCCGTCAAGCGATTCAGGAAGGCTCAGTGCCCCATCATTGAGCGTCTCACCAACTCGCTCATGATGAACGGCCGCAACAACGGAAAGAAGCTCATGGCTGTGCGCATTGTTGCCCACGCTTTCGAGATCGTACGTCTACCAGAAGTCGGCCACGTTCTTCAGCGTGGAAAGATTTGGCATTTTGAGGACCAGACTGACAATATCAGATCCACATCATGACCGACCAGAACCCCATCCAGGTCGCCGTCGATGCCATTGTCAACTGCGGTCCCCGTGAAGACTCCACCCGTATCGGTTCCGCCGGTACCGTCCGTCGCCAGGCCGTCGATGTCTCACCCCTCCGCCGTGTCAACCAGGCCATCGCTCTCCTCACCATTGGTGCCCGTGAGGCCGCTTTCCGCAACGTCAAGTCGGTCGCCGAGTGCCTTGCTGAGGAGCTCATCAACGCTGCCAAGGGAAGCAGCAACTCCTACGCGATCAAGAAGAAGGACGAGTTGGAGCGTGTAGCCAAGTCCAACCGATAAGTGCGTGCATATATCTGTGGCGGTGCATGGTGTCTGGGTTTTCTCTCATCGGGCTGGTCTGGTACTTACTGGACGCTACGGAGGATCTTCAGCATGTCAAGGTTCTCTAGGCGAACAACCTCTTTCATGGTTGCATGACAAAAATGGACAATTCGACACAAGCTGTTTTATGGTTCTATGATGTGAATGGCTCATGATGAATGGTGGACAAGAGGCGGTTCGCTCGCGAAGCTCACCCAGGATCTGTTGATGTCATCCGGTACCCTGGGTCCGTAGAGTGAAGCCTGAATGAAAATCATCTTTCCAATTACGAGTAACTCTAGCTACACAACATCGTGCCTGTATTCCTACGGTCAAGCGTCTTGGGTATAACGTCGTCTACTAGCACGCTTCACTGCTACTGGTCGTTCTCCCTATCTATGCTTTGGCCCTCGCCCTAACAGCCCGCTCCATGAAGCCGCCTAACTCCTCAAAGCCGACCCTGCCTCCATGCTTTGCCCCAAACATCTCAGCATCCCTATACGCTTGTGCCATAATCTCCTGGTCGACCTTGACCAACCACCCATCGCCCGTGATCATGACCTTGCTCCCCTCCGTAGACAGTTGTGACAGCAATCCGCTCGCCTTGACCAACCTCGTAATCCACAGCCGATCCTTCCCCTCCTTCCTCCCCTGCTCAAGCAAGTCCACGCACCCTCTCTGCCGAACCTCCCTCCGCACCCTATCGACTACGCGCTCCCTGCGCTCATTCTCCTCCTCTTGCTCCCTGCGTTCCTCTTCCTTCCGCCTCGCCCGCTCCTCCTTCTCCTTCGCCGCAATGTCCGCCTCGATCTTCGCCCTGCGCTCCTTCTCAGCCGCGAGTTCCGCCTCCCGCTCCTCAGCGCCCTCTTGCTCTCTCAATCTCCGTAGTTCCGCTTCCTGCCTGTGGAACTCGTGGTAAGCGCGGCGCTGATCTTTGCGGGCGAGGGATTTGGCTTTCTTCGCGCCGACGGTGCGGTTCGCTGGAGTATTCCTGGGAGCGTCTGGATTTGGATTTGCAGGGCCTTCGCCGGCGTCGTGCGGTTGGGGGAGTGGCGGTTCTTGGATGTTGTGGTTTTGCTGGTTGAAGGGCGGGGTCGGGGCGAGGGGGGGAGGTTGTGCGTCGTCTTCGTCGTCGGAGGGCTGCAGGACGAGGCGCTCGTCTAGGGGGAGGTCTTCGCGTTGGCGTTGGCGGGGAGGTGGGTTTGCTGTGGCTGGGTCGGCGCCGGGTTGGTGTATGGTGTCTTCATCTGGGGCGTCTGGTGGTGCGTCGCGATGTTGCCGTGCGTTGTACCATTCTGCGATCTGAGGGGCGTAGTATAGGGTACCGCACAAGACGGCAGTGTGGACAATGTCTTGTGCCAGTGGTGTTCCAGGCTTTGTGAAGGGTAGGAGGAAGTTTAGGAGAGATATGGGAAGCGTGAGGAGTGCGCCCATGGCGATGGTGGGGTTTATGTCTGTCTTCTTTGTGTGGAGGGTGTATGATGGGTGACAAGAGTTGTGCGAAGAGTTCAGAGACGCTCCAGTGATATTCCAGATTTCGCACAAGCCTAGATTTGGTGGAAGCGATGGTTGATGCGAGTAAAATGAAACATGGCGAATGTCGAAGAAGTTCGCCAATCCGTGATGCAACGGCCGCGGTAGGGCTGAGATGCGCTATACCTTTTACATCTGTTGCGCTCTTCCCAATACCCAATATAACCATTGCTCTTTTCACACCCGGGCAGCCCTCAAGACATACTCGAGCGATCTGTGGTTTTCACTGAGCACATCGTCTCGATTACCACGCGTTCTGCACATTCGGGGCTTCTTGTGTATGCCTTTTCAGCTCGCTAAACGGCCCACCATTGGTGTTCATCGGGCCTCTGTATGCGCTCTCAAAAGCAGCCACATTTTCGACCTATCATTCGCCTGGTATTGCGATGAGCTTCGCTTCTGGATGAGCTAGAGCGAAGCCATAGAACTCGACTTTCGGAGAGCTCGCCAATGTATACCAGAACCGTGCAAGCCCCTCGTTCGCTAGCGTCATTTTCATACTCTCGGCGATGCGCATGACCTGAATAGCACTATAATGCCTTGCTGTCACTCTGGAAGCTACCGTTGTGAACTTGTGAGCCACAGCGAATGGCAGGGAGATGGCGCGGTCGGAGGGTTTGTGGTAGCGCCTCGGCCGTAACACGTCCTGGGGCGGCACAATTGCCTGTTCGTAGCGAGTCCGAAGGAGCGCCACTATTAGTGGATCATAGTATTGGACCTGGGTTGCATGTCGGTCTGTTCAGGGCGGGGATGTTACAGTCAAGACGGGGAGAAGTTCGCCCTTCAAAATCTACGTGCGTTGTGTAGAAGTATATACTTGCATGATAGATCCCTCTTCACCGTTTTCAAACATCGCCTCTGCCTTATCACTAGCGCTTGGCCCCGTCGCCATCAAATCTTTAGCTCACAACACCCCCAAATATCATTACATTCAAGCAAGACCGAACTCCTTTTGATTGGAGCCTGTTTCTTATACCATACTTGGAGCATATTGCTGTAATCGTCTCACCGTCGATCGCCACTGTCATTAATACACTACGTCATCAGCCATGACAGTCCAAGAGGTCATCTGGCCAAACGATGCCGGCTTCGACACCAGTTACGAAGAACTCGAACCAGTAGAGCTTGCAGTAAAAGGAGAAATACCATCGTTCGCGGCTGGTGTTTTATGTAAGTCGCGGAGCATTCAAACACACATTCCGTCGTTCTGACCTCCCTCATAGATCGAACTGGACCTCAGGGCTATAAAGCAACAACTGACGATGGCAAAATTTGGGCAGCCAAGCATTGGTTTGATGGCTTCTCTTGCGTCCATCGTTTCCAAATCGACTTCCCTGAACCTAATGGCCCCGCAAAAGTCCAGTACCGATCAAGGCGCAATTGTGATAAGTACCTCGAGATGGTCAGAAAGACTGGAAGAGTCGACGGCTTCACATTTGCCTCGAAGCGCGACCCATGCGAAAGCTTTTTCAAGAAGGTCATGGGCATGTTCGTCAAATCACCCAGTACACAGAATGTTGGCGTTACGCTATCGATCAACATGCCTGGAGGATACACTGCGAGTTCCGAGAAGTCTGGGGTCAATGGACATACAAACTCACTCCAAGCATTGCATGCCAAAACGGATTCGTCTGTGTTCAAAAAGATTGATCCGGAGACACTCGAGCCACAGGGCATAGCAAGTCAGCAGTCGCTTCATCCGCAGCTGAATGGGGAATACTCAGCTGCGCACGCCAAGTCCGACCCGGTTACTGGAGACATCTTCAACTTCAACTTAAAGCTAGGAAGACCTTCGATTTACCGTGTCTTTGGCACCTCCGCATCAACTGGCGAAACGACTGTCCTGGCTACCTTCGAAGGCACAGCAGCGTACATTCACTCTTTGTTCCTCACCGAGAACTACGTCGTACTATGTGTCTGGAACAGCCATGTGGCCTGGTATGGCATCCCCCTCCTATACCACAAGAACGTCGTCGATGCCACCGCGCCGTTCGATCCCAACTCTAAAGCAAGCTGGTACGTGGTCGATCGCAAACACGGCAAAGGGCTTGTCGCAACCTACGAGAGCGACCCGTTCTTCTGCTTCCACTCCGTCAACGCATGGGAAGAGCCCAACAGCACCGACCCGAGCAAAACCGACATCATCACTGAACTCAGCATGTTCGAGAACACAGATGTCATCGAGCGATTCTACTACGACAACCTCGTCTCATCCATCGCAAATCCCGAATATGCGGGCAATAAGCGCCTTTCCTGCTTGCCCATGCAAGCGCAATTCCGTCTCGCGAGTATCGAATCAGGCGCGAGCGCCAGCACGCCCATGCCCGCAGAGCTCCTCTTCCAAGCCGACAAGATGATCTCCATGGAACTTCCCACCATCAACCCACGCTACCTGACCCGTCGCCATCGCTTCTCATACGGCTGTGTAGACCGCTTGAAGTCATCCTTCATGGACGGAATAGTCAAGTTCGACAACACTACGCAAAAGTCTATCTTCTGGGAGGAGGAAGGACATACACCCGGTGAGGCGATATTCATCGCTGATCCAAATGGTACGGCTGAAGATGACGGCGTGCTGTTGACGGTCGTGCTGGATGGACATATTGATAAGAGCTATCTGCTTGTGTTGAATGCGAAGGACTTGAAGGAATTGGGCCGCGCGGAGATGCTTGGACCGATGGCTTTTGGCTTTCATGGTGCGTACAAGGGCGCGGAGAGGAGATATGATGGAGACATCTAGGTGAGCCAAATTTGGGGGTAAATTGCTAGTTATTGAGTTGACTGGATCAACTTTATTAATATGGTCTCTATTTCTTGTTCTATAGTCATAAGCAATCAATCATTCTAAATCTGCATCCACGAGCCTAACCCCTCCCCAACCACCTTCAGATTTGCGCATTTTTTTTATCGACCTTTTCCTACTCAACAAGCGCGATCTTGGTACCATGTTCGTTTTGAAAAGATTTTCCCGTGGGCCCGTCATATGTCTTGAAGCCCCACATGTCAGCGGCGCGTTGTCCTTGAAGTAGGATATAGTGGCCACGAGTATCGCAATAGTTGCCGTCCTGCAAACACAAGCATCGGCACTCTACGCGAATATCTGTAGGCGAGAAACGGAAGGGCCCGCAACTACCAAGACTTCCAAAGTCGGATACGCTATAGATTGCGGGATTCATCGCCGTCCTCTAGCGGAGGCGGCCTAAGCGGGAGATATGGCTGAAAATTTCTGATGTAAAAGATGGCGAAGTAGGATCATGCCCCGGTGGTCCTGGGTGCTTGATTTTTGGCTCATTGTTGGTGGAAATTGGACATATACTGACTTTGGAAATAGGGAGCAGCACCTGCGAGAACCCATCTTTGGTGGAAGATTTTTATAACGCAGGTGGCCCCAG